GTGGCTCAGTTGGCTAAGCGACTGCCTTCGGCTCAGGTCATGATCCTGGAGTCCTGTGATCGAGTCCCGCATCAGACTCCCTGCCCAGAGGGAGTCTGCTTCTCCCTCAGACCCTCCCCCCCTCATGCTCTCTCTCTTTCTCATTCTCTCTCTCAAATAAATAAATAAAATCTTAAAAAAAATAAAATCTTTAAAAAAAAATAAAGTAATGCTTATAAAGAGACTCGCTAGAATTGAGAAAGGAGTGCAGGCCCTCCATGAGACCCTCTACCAAGAGATAGGAGACGTAAAAAAGAACCAACTAGAGCTATTGGACTCACTAAATGGAAATAAAAATAGACCACCTGGAATAAATAGCAAACAAGAGGAAGTTGAATGGATCAGCCACCTGGAGGACAGTCATGGAAAGTAATCAAGCTGAGCAGATGAGAAGGGGAAAAAATACACAAAATGAGAATAGACCCAGGGAACTCAGCAACACTGTCAAGCATAACAGTCACATGACAGGGATCCCAGAAAAAGAGCGAGAAAAGAGGGCTGAAGATTTGTCTGAAGAAATAATAGCTAAAAACTTCCTGAATCTGGGGAAGGAAAGAGAAATCCAGATCCAGGAGGCACAGAGAGCCCCCAACAAAACCAACCCAAAGAAGTCTGCACCAAGACACAAAGTAAATAAGATGGCCAAAAGTAGTGATAGAGACTTTTAAAAGCAGTAAGAGAAAGGAAAGCAGTGACATACAAGGGAAAACCCATATGGCTATCAGTGGGTTTTTCAGTAGAAACTCTGCAGGCCAGAAGGACCTGGCATGATCAATTTCAACTGCTAAAAGGAAAAAGTCTACAGCCAAGAATATCCAGCAAGTCTTTCATTTAGAATAGGAGAGATCGAGTTTCCGAGAAAAACAAAATTTAAAAGCAAAACCAGTCACGTCCCCATCACACACAATGCCATCAGCCTGTGGGTCCCAAATTCACAGTCCAGCCACCCTCCTGCCCGAGTCAGCATGCATGGCCTGCCACCTGCTCAATGCCAAGTCAATACGCCTTCACCTCAGATTGCCAAAGGCTCAAACTGGCACTCTTCCCCTCAAATTCCAGCCCCTGTGCTCAAGTTTGTGTACAAAAGTGGGCATAATTATAACAGCAGAATGAAGCAACACAAACAGTGACACTATTTCTGTGGAATTTAGAATGGATAAAAGGAGTGTGCTAGGCTGAGAACATCTCCAACAAGCACATCAAAGAACAATACATACAGCATGATTCTGGTTAGTAAAAAAAAAACAAACCTGGGAAGAATAAAACAAGATGAAATCAGAGAGGGGGAAAACGATAAGAGACTCTTAAGCATAGGAAAGAAACTGAGGGTTGCTGGAGGGGAGTTGGGGGGGCTGGGATAACTGGGTGATGGGCATGAAGGGGGACATGTGATGGAATGAGCACTGGGTGTTGTATACAACTGATGAATCACTGAACTCTACCTCTGAAACTAATAATACACTATATGTTAATTAATTGAATTTAAATAAAAAAGGAACCCCCCAAAAAGAACAGAGGTGGTAGAATTGGATGGAGGTGAGGAAATTGAATAGAGAATTATTTAAAAGATAAAACAGAATCTGATGATTGATCAGGTGTGCCTATGTGTTTGGGCAGAAGTGAGATGTGGGATTGGTTAATAAACAGGCCTGATTTCTGGCTTTCTCCAGGGGCTAACTGAATGGCTGGTGGTATCACCAACTGAGGCAAAGGATATAGAAAAATGAGCACAGTTTGGTTTAGCTGCATGTAACATAACCCAAAATACTGTAGTTTAAACAGGAAAGTTTATTTTCTTTATTTTCTTTTTTTTTTTAAGATTTTATTTATTTATTTGAGAGAGAGAATGAGAGAGAGAGAGCACATCAGAGGGGATAGGGTCAGAGGGAGAAGCAGACTCCCTGCCGAGCAGGGAGCCCGATGTGGGACTCGATCCTGGGACTCCAGGATCATGACCTGAGCCGAAGGCAGTCGCTTAACCAACTGAGCCACCCAGGTGCCCGGAAGTTTATTTTCTCTCGTGTAAAAGAAGTCCAAGGCATTGGTCCAGGACATATATGATGCTTCAGAGTCTCTAGTTCCTTCTATCTTGCTGCTCTGCTATTCTCAGCATGTTGTTTTCTCCTCAAAGTCCGTCATGGATGCTCTAGCTTTTGGCCATCACATTTGAGTTCCAGGAATTAAGAAGAAAAAAGCAATGACGAATAGCATACCCTGTCACTTTAAGGACATTTTTGTACTGGCTAGTAGTCATCTGGCCTCACAGTTTGCAAAGAAAGCTGGAAAGTGTAATCTTTATTCTGGAAAGTCACATGCCCAGGTAAAGAAGTGCCCTAAGGCTCCCTGATGTTAGAGAGTGGGAGATAAGATCCAAGAGAGGAGACTGAGAAGAGGAGGCAAAGAAATAAGAGGGAAGCCAGGAGGGTGTGATGGCATGGAAGACAAGCATGCTAGTGACAAGTCACATGAGATGCAGACTTAGAATGGACACATATTTAGCAATATGGAGGTTACTGCTGGCCTTACTGAGAATTTTGGTGTAGTGGTGGATTGGGATGAAAGTCCCATTGGAGGAGAGAAATTAGAGGAGAGAGATTAAGAAAATTAGACTACCTTTTTTTTTTTTTAAGGAAAGAAAAGATTGGGCCAGTGACTGTACGGGGAAGTAAGGTAAGGGAAATTTTATTTTTTAGGAAGAAAGAAATAACAGTATGTTTATATGTTGATGAGAAGGATTAACCTGAGAAGTAAAATTGGTGCTAGTAGAGAGAGGAAAGACTTTTTTGAATAATGGGATCTAGAACTTATGTGGAGGGGTGGCCTTTTCTAGGAGCATGGGCAATCCATCCGTAGTGCCAGGAGTGATGGAGCACAGGTTGGTTAGAGTTCATGGTACTGGAAGCTTGTGGAAGTTCTCTTATGATTCCTTCTATTTTCTCAAGAAATAGGAAGCAAAGTCATTCACTCAGAGCAGGGAGGGATAGGTTTGAAGTGGTAGGAGCAGAAAGAGATGAATCAGTATCTAGGAGAAGAATGGAAGTATGAATGGACCAGGGAACAACTGATAACTTGGCAGCATTGACTTCCCACGTGAAGTTTGCGACCATGAATTTAAAGTGGATAAGAGTCATAATAGGTAGCTGTGACTTTTCACAGGACTAAATGGACTAATGAACATAAAGCACTGAGAACAGTACCAGACATACAGTGAGTGCATAATAAGCTTGTATTATTTGTATATTTATGACTAATTTATAACTCTAGCTCAGACTTTTCTTCATTCAGACTCATATATGCTCCTTTATAACAAAAATCCTTGAAAACTTTTCTGAAAATCCCTCTTCTGTACCTTCTCACATCCCTTTTTCTCTTTCACTCTCTATAGTAGGTCCCCACCCCAAATGCTTTTGTTTTGCTTTTTGTGTGTGTGTGTGTGTGTAAGATTTTATTTTTAAATAATCTCCATACCCAGCGAGGGACTTGAACTCATAACCCTGGGATCAAGTGTTACATGCTCTATCTTCTGAGCCAGTCGGGTGCCCCTGAAATGCTTTTCAAGAATCACCTATGACCTTGATCTTGCCAAATCCTGGTTCATGCTCAGTCTTCATCTTCCAGCATTTGACATGGCTTTGATCAAGTCTTGCTTCCTAAATCCTTATAAAGATTTGGTTTCCAGGACATCTCAGTCTCCTGGGCTTTCATCCTACCCATTCTTAATCTTCTTTGCTGGATCTTCCTCCTCCTCCTGACCTCTAAAGATTGCACAGTTTGGGGCTAAGTTTTCTTTTCTATCCATACTTGCACCCAACATGATCTGACTAGTCCCACAGTTTCAAATAGCATCTGTATGCTAGTGCATCCAAACTTATATCTCTGTGATCTTCTCCGGTAGCCAACTCCCAGTGAACAACTCTATTTGGAAGTACAGTAGGCATATCATACTTAACTGTCCAAAACAGAATTCTTGATTTCCACTCCAACCATACCCATTTACCCAATCTAGTTGATGGAATTACCTTTCACTAGTTTGCTCAGGCCCTGGAGGTCCTTCACTTGTTTTTTTCTCACCCTTTGCAATCATTTAGCAAACCCTGTTGACTCTAACTTCAGATTCTATCTGAAATCTGGGCACTTCTCCCCACCTTTACTGTTTTCATCCGAGTCTGACCCAGCACTGTCCTATATTGTGTCGGTTTTCCTTCTTGCCCCTTTACCACCATCTTCATGGAGTCCAGGAGGCCTTTAAAAAATGTAGATGGTTGTCATTACAAATAATCTAAAACGCAAATGTTACCGTGGCACCCCCTGGCTGTAAAAGCTTCAGTTTCCCCATATCCCCGAGGGTGGTGTTGTCTTTACTGCTGGGCAATAAACTGTGGGCTGAATAATATTAATCTGGCATTTCTTGAATCACAATGCAAAGATTTGGTGAAATACTATGCCGTCATTACAAATTGTCTATTTGATGTAGTAACATGGGATTAATCCTGACGAAATAAGGGAGCGGATAGCAGATCCTACCGTTACTTTCACACTATGGCTGAGTAAATTGTTATGCGTATACGTGATTATAGCCTGCAAGTGGATAAGAAAAAAATGAAAACAGTTACCACAATCATGGAGTTATAAGTGATTATGTCTTTTAAACATTCAGTTCAATCATGTTATTAAACAAAACAAAACAAAACAACCCAAACCTTTTTCTTCCTTTCTTTTTTTTTTTTAAAGGAACGGGCCTCCTCTCCAGCAGGCAGTCACATCCCTCCACACGTCCCCTCCCCCAACCAGTACAAATTAGCATTGGGCCCTCCGGGCCACCGTCCACAGGCTGGGCCTGCCCAACGCTTGCTAGAGACGCGACGAGCCACTCCCTCGGCGCTGTGCTCTCCCTCCGCCCCACTTCCTTCCTCCAGGCCCCGCCCCACGCCGGTGCGCATGCGCACAGGCGAACACGTGGCTGCCGCGGAGCCAGGACAGCAATGGCGGCGGGTGGCGGTGGTGTTGCGGACCCCCTGTCCCCGGCAGGGGTTCCTTGCGCCTTCTCTCCGCTGAACCAGGCCTACTTCGCTTTGGCGTCTGCCGACGGTCAGTTGCGAGTGTGGGAGACAGCCAACAATAGGCTGCATCAAGAGTACGTGCCTTCCGCGCACCTCAGCGGTACCTGCACCTGCCTGGCCTGGGCGCCAGCGCGGCTACAGGCCAAGGTAAAGCAGGCGGGACGGCGGGGGGCGGGCGTCCGCCCGGGCTCGGTCTCAGCGCACCCGCAGTCGGACGGCGCGTGGCCGGGCATCTCGCGCGGCCCTCCGAGGCCCGGGGTGAGGAGGCACGGAGTGCGGCGGCGGCGCGGACTCGGTCCACTTCGCCAGTCCCGCGTGCGGCCTGCCCGCAGAGTAGCGAAAAGAGGGCGCGGCCCGATTGGACGGGCCGTAGACTGGAGCGCTACCGACTGGCTCCATGCGGTCTGCGCCCCGCGCCCGGCTGTCGCCGGGGCCGCCATGTTCCCGTAGGCCCCCAGTTCGCCGGGGCGGCTTCCTTCTGCCAAGCCTCGCGCAGCAACATGTGCTCAACGTCCTGGATTTTGACAGAGCCCTTCGTTGGGGCTATAGTACTCTTTTCCGATTTCTCTAGCTCATCGGCTTTGCCTTAGGAGATTGGAATGAGTAAGTCTGTTTCCTTGCTTCCGGACAATCCCCTCCATCCCCGAACACTTGGGTGCAGCAGGCTCACCACGTGTTCTCTTCCACGTCCAGTGTGTGGTACTCTCACTCTTCAAACTTTTGACTTTCCCAGGCTCGTTTCCATTCTCAGTCATTTGAAACTTCAAGCCTTTTTTTTTTTTTTTTTAAACATCTGCTTAGTTCCTGTTTATACACCCCCTTTTCTGGAGTCTGCCTTAGGTTGTGGAGGTAAAGTGAAGTAGCCGGATTAATGTAATGAATGTGAATCCAGGTGAAGTTTTTCTTAGAGGGGACATTGCCGAGTTAGGGAAGGCTTTTCTCTTAGGGCCTCATCTCAGGTAAGGTGTCATTCACTGTTGAGTCTTTCCGCTACGTCTGCCCCAACTCACGTGCACGTGGGTCCTGCAGGTATAGGGTAGTCAAATCGAATCAGTCTAATGTGATTTGGAAGCATCAGGTATCGTGAATGTTTAGATGACACTATGTGTAAAACTTCAAAAGCTAGTATTTAAGACAGATTTTTAACTCCATCATGACTACTATGGGGGGACTTTCTGCTAAATTTTTAGGTTGAAAGTAGGGGTACATCTAACTGTGCTTTCGGCGAGTATGTTTAGGTATTTTTCAGATCTTAAAATAGAGTCTCTTAGTTTCTAGATGAAGTGACTTTAGTTCATAAATAAAAGAAACCTTTATCCGGGCTCTTAAGGCAAGGCGAACTTGGACTTTAAAAAAAAATCGTAGTTGTCGTTAAAGTTACAGCAGTCTGCATATCTTCCCTTTTTTTAAAGTTGTTCTCTGTGTTTCTTTTTAACAGTCCTGTAAAGAGGGTGCTTGGGTGGCTCAGTTGGTTAAGCAACTGCCTTTGGCTCAGGTCATGATCCTGGAGTCCCGGGATCGAGTCCCACATCGAGTCCCACATCGAGTCCCACATCGGGCTCCCTGCTCGGCGGGGAGTCTGCTTCTCCCTCTGACCCTCTTCCCTCTCGTGCTCTCTGGCTCTCATTCTCTCTCTCTCAAATAAATAAATAAAATCTTAAAAAAAAAAAACAAACAGTCCTGTAAAGAGATGATAATAGCAATGCTGAGGGAAAACGTGGAGCGATGATTAGATGCATGAATCCAAGCTCTGCTGCTTACATTTGCATCTAGGTTTGGCTTCATAGTGGTGATTGTGCCTTTAGTTCCTCATTTGTAAAACAGGGGTAATAGTACCCACCTCAGAGTGGTTGTGAAGGTGAACATGTTTAGTAACACAGAAACATTTAGATTAGTGTATGTAAGTGCTGCATGTATCGTTGTTATTAATATCTCGGATTTGTATGGTTAGTCCTGGAAGGTAGATAAAGACTAACTTTTTGCCTTGTTTGTGAAAAAGAAACTAAGACTCTGGAAAATTAGGCAGCTTGCATAAAAACCAAAAATAGAACCAGGACTAGAACTCAGGTATTTAGAGCTTTGTTGTCCATTATTTACAACAAATAATAATAGGCTAGCAAAAATTTGTTGCCCCCCCCTTTGCTTTTCTGTTGACTTAAGTCACATTATATGCCTCAAGAATAAAACTTTGGCCTAATCTTAAATTTCCTGTTGAAAATCATAGTTTTGGATTATGTATACCACTCTGAAATAGTAGAAAAATATCTAGATTTGGTTTCATATCCGACTTAAATTGCTTTTTGTCACATTGAGCGAGTCACTCATTTGGAGGGCCTCATTGAAAAATGAGTTTGGCTTCTTAAAAAAAGTTTGTATAGGTTTCAGTATCCTTTTATATCTGTATGTTTTCATTTTAGCCACACAGCTCTATGAAGTGTCCTGAAATAAAATTTTTAAAAACTGAGAATCAGAACTAAGGAAGTTCCAAGTGACTTCACCAAAGCTTTAGTAACCAATAATGAGACTGTGACCATTAGAACGAGGTCCTCTGACTCTGGTCCGCTGTTCTTACACTGTAACCCTAGATCTTGAGTCACAGAATTGAGAGCTGGGAGGAATGTAAGGAGGACATTCGGTCGTCATATTGGCGATGTGTCCACCTAGAGCATCAATTTTACTTGAAGATTAGAGGGAGAAGTGGTTCTCTTAAATGTGCACATATATTACGGGATAAAATTATAAAGTCACGTTATTTTTTTAAAGCTAGAAAATGAAGAGTGATGTGTAGTAGCTGCTTGAGTCTCTGCTCCCAGGTCCCTGGGTTAGGATCCTTGCCACTGAAGTTTTAAGATGCTCTGATTTTATTAAACCTTTTTATTTTACATCTTTGAGGATTAGAGTATGAGTCTTAGAAAGGATGTTATTCTGAAGCCTGTGTTCCCAACACCTTAAGATTTTTGTTACTCAAACATGAAGTAGAGCTTATGCTACCCATCTTTCAGGGTCCTCAGAATTAAGTGAGGCAGTGTATATGACGGGTGTAGTAAGTGTTCAGTGAATGTTAGTTGTTATTATTGAGTGATTCAGTGAGCATTCTCTATGGGCTCATTTTACCATTTACTGCCACATTCCTCAGTATAAATCATTTTTTTTTAAAGATTTTGTTTATTTGAGAGAGAGAATGAGAGAGAGAGAGTACATGAGAGGGGGGAAGGTCAGAGGGAGAAGCAGGACTCCCCACTGAGCAGGGAGTCTGAAGCGGGACTCGATCCCGGGACTCCAGGATCATGACCTGAGCCGAAGGCCGTCACCCAACCAACCGAGCCACCCAGGCGCCCTCAGTATAAATCATTTTGTAAGAGTATCCTGTATCTGGTTCAGTAATTGGCAATTTGCCACCCAAGGACAAAGTTTGGTAACATTACTCCTGTGAGTGGAGAAAAATGAGTTGGTGCTGGGTTACTTGGGTAATAAGTGTTAAAATAGTAGTTCCTAAATGTTTAGAAAAATCATCTTGTTGTTTGTTGTTCTCGGTCAAGAATGATTATAATACCTCACATTTATGCCAGTAGTTTTTGGAAGGTTTTTGTACATATTATATAGCTGAGCATTTCATTTGGTTAATGGAACCTGGGGCAAGAGGACCTGTAATGATAAGAAAAGTGCAGGGAGACACATTGATGGACTATAGATGGATGCTGTTTTTAAAGCTCGTCAGGTTTGTGCATGTAAACTGAGGCTGAGCTGTTAAATGATATGCCAAAGCCACAAAGTAAGTGCCTGAGCCCCATCTTGTAACTGACCCTGCTATTTCATTGCCCCCTAAAATCTCTCCAACTTTTCTACTTTTCCTTCCCTAGCTGGTGTACAGCCCTGAAGAAACAGACCGTGTCTACCATCAGCTACCACAGTTCATGTATTTATGCTGCTTTGCTGTTACTGCAGTTGAACTGACCTCACACAGCTTAGTTCTTGTTAAACGAAGCACATGGTGCTTCAGCTATGAGACAGGGCAAGCACAGTAGCATTAAGAATGTTTCTAGGAAGGGGCGACCCTTTCGGGACCCCTCTCATTCTTGAGAGCTTTTTCTGTATCTTCACTTAATAAACTGCTATCACTTTACTCAAAAAAAAAAAAAAAAGAATGTTTCTAGGAAGAATCTGAGTTGAGTTCCCCATTCCCATTCCTTGGAGATGTGGTACAGTCTGGTTGTGTTCCTGAATGTATGATGCTGTATCTTAGGGTCTCTCCAGTATTTAAACTTCAAAACAAGGAAAAGTTTGCAGATTAGATCCTGTTGGCAGGAATAGAAGTTCCTGATTATTAGAATTTGATTGTTTTTGATATAAATATGTAATGACATGTAAAATGCACACATTTTTTCATTGTTATCCATGAAACTTAAACATTTGCCAGAGAGGTGACAGTAGGTAGGCTAAGAAAAGGCGTATGAGACTAATTGCAGAATGAAACTTGAAACTCTGGCATAATTTTCAGTGTCTAGAGGTCAGGATTTTTCAAAAGTAGGTTTTGATTCATTAGTGGATTATGAAACAGCTTTAGTGGGTTGTGATAGAGTTAAAAAATGAGTGTATTTTGCATGGGAAAGGATAAGTTTTTTGTGGAGCTTGTTTCAGTTATATATACATATGTTTTTATGAGTGTGTATACTAGCTCTCCATGTAAACTTTCCTTACTCTGGGATCTCAGTCTTAAAAAGTCATTGCTTAATTGATCAAATTCAGACTTCTCATCACTTGGATGCCCTTTGTTTTCTGTCTTCACCACATCTGCCCTATGTCTTGCTTTTGTAAATCATGCACTTAGCCCCTTGAGACTCTCACTCAGCCTTCTGATTGCCTTCTGGATCAAATGCTGATAAACTTTTTCAGACTGGTGCTACTCTTTATTGCTTAGCCTTGTCAGACTTTCACACTGAAAAAGACTCTTTAAGAAATCGCATTTTTTGCGTCTTCGCTCCTGGTACCTCTAGGAACTCCAATTTTTCAGTCACAGATATGAACTCAAGTTTTAGCCTACCCTTTTCATTACTTTATGTACTTAACATGTATAGTGAGTATGCACATGACCTTGTGCTAGGTAATTCAGAGGAAGTAAAACTGAGTATGACTGAGACACATCAATGAAGAAGTGGACAATTCAGATATACTGTGTCTGTAATGCAGAGTGCAGTATGATGTGTGCCTTGAGAGAAGAAGAGGGGGTGCCTGGGTGGCTCAGTCGGTTAAGCGTCTGCCTTCAGCTCAGGTCATGATCTGGGATAGAGCCCTGCGTTGGACTCCCTGCTAAGTGGGGGTCTGCTCGCTCTGCCAACACCCCCCCATGCGCTCTCTCAAATAAATAAATAAAGTTTTTAAATAAAAAGAGAAGAGGTTTTTATGGGGAGATGAGAGTTGGGGTGGACCTTGAAGCATGGATAGATTTTTAACCAAAAGAAAATTGAAGTGAGATTTTCCCTCCAAGTTGAGGGAAAAGCAGAAGCAAAATGGGAAAGTGTTAGGGATTAGGGAGTATAATATAAAGTTGGAATTGGAAATAAGGTTGGAAAAGGGTGGTTTGGAGGCAAATTGCAGATGCTTTTGAATGCCAGAGAGTTGCTTGTATTGATTTCGTCTTCTCTGGGGAGTCATTGACGTTTTTGATCACAGCAGCAACAGGTTCAGAAAGAAAATGCTGACAAAGGTCTGTCAAAATCTATAATCATCAGCACTAAATTCCTGGTTTCAGAAATATTTAGTGATGAGGTAATATTTAAAATAGATTTTACTAAAATGCACATTGCTTATATAAACTTAGATCGTTGACCTGTTCAGACATGTTCATCCTGCTAACTGGGAAGTGATTTTTAAAAAAGGTCGTCCGGCTCTGAGAAAATATGCATGAGTCAGTAGTTCTTTGAGATGCATTAATTGTGTTATTATTTAGGCTTAGACCACTGATCCTCAAAATTGGGCATAAGTTCTGTGGATGCTCCTCCACTTGCCTCTGCTTGCTTCTCCCGAAATACACAGGTTTTGTTGATAGGGAAATTAGGGTTTGCATATGTTAAGGATTAATATCTAAAATTTCTTGGTGTTTTTTATTTTTTATTTTTTTTAAATTTTGTTAAGAAATTTCTACACCCAGTGTGGGGCTTGGACTCATAACCCAAGATCAGGAGTTGCATGCTTTCCCGACTGAGCCAGCCAAGCACCCCTTTTTGTGCTTTTTAATGCAAATTCATATCTGCAGAAAAACATACACATATTTGGACCAGCCTATGTTTCACACATTAGAAACCTCAGTGTGAGATGATTTGAACTTGATTTGGGAAAACCAAGAGTTGGAGAAATAATTTCTAGGCTCTTTGAGAGAAGAGTTTTCTGATGAGGTGTAGTAGGACGTTGATATACTTAACCCCAACTGCTCTTGCCTGAAATAGGTGTTTGTGTTCATAACCTTGTGCTGAAACCACATCTGCCTTGTGGGATCATTTAGAGGTGGCTTTAGATATTCACTGAACTGAAGGTGGGACCTAGGACATTGCTTGTGCTAAGGTTTAATGTTTCAAGCAAATTAAATGTTACTGATAAGACCATCATATGTTTTTATACTTTGGCTTTTAATTGTAACTTCTCTTTGGGGTTTATTAATGTAGATATATTTCTTAGGACTTACAAAATGTGTATTTTTTTCTCTATATAAAAAGTTACTATTTTTTGTTAAATCTTTTTACTTTTTGTTGACCTAAGTGTGTCAAGTGAATAAAATTCTTCAAATGTAACATCTCCATAAGATTAACTAAACAAAAACAAAATGGAAAATGCTTTATAAATCTACTCCTTGATACTCTTTTTTTAATAGGTTTATTTTTTTTTTAAAGATTTTATTTATTTGTCAGAGAAAGAAAGAAAGAGAGTACAAGCAGGGGGAGCGGCTGGTGGAGGGAGAAGCAGGCTCCCCACTGAGCAGGGAGCCTGATGCAGGACTCGATCCCAGGACCCTGGGATCACGAATGGAGCCGAAGGCAAACGCTTAACCGACTGAGCCACCCAGGCGCCCCTACTCCTTGATATTCTTTTTTTTTTATTTTTATTTTTTAAGATTTTATTTATTTATTCATGAGAGAGAGAGAGAGAGAGAGAGAAGCAGGCTCCCAAGGAGCAGGGAGCCTGACACGGGACTCGATCCCAGGGCCCCGGGATCATGACCTGAGCCGAAGGCAGATGCTTAACCATCTGAGCCATCCAGGCGCCCCTTGATATTCTTTATACACTTGTAACATCATAGTTTTCATTGGTGGTTTTCGGGTTGGGCAAATTTTTATGTATCCTGGCCTGCTGCTTTGTGCTGTAGAGTAAAGGTCTTGCGCTATTGGGAAGCTGTTCTTTTTCCTGTGGTAGTGAGTGGTCTGTTTTATGTTAAAAGAATGGGTATCTCAGCTTTCTGCTAAAGCACAGGCTGGCACGCTTTAATTAAAAAAACAAACAAACAAACATCATATGGAAGAGAAGTTCTGAAATTACATATTTTCAGCATTGTAAACTTTGAGGTAATACCCTGAAGTCGTCATCATTGATTGTGTTTGGACTAACATCTGTTCTGTTTTTGAAGTAAATCAAAGCAGTCTTGTGGCATTTGACACTAGGTTGGAACTTGTGCCTCTTGTCATGAGGATCACCAAGACTGCATGGAACTTTCAGAATAACCCTTAATTCTCACACTAGAGCAACTTCTAGTATGCTCTACTAGTTACAACTGTGTTTTGACTGAGACTGAAATAAATGTTTGTTTATAAAAACGTTTGAGTCCCCTTTCCTGAGAATGAAGCTACAGCACAAGGAAAGATGAAGAGGGAAAAAGGGGAAGTGTTGGTTGCTTGGCTGTGGATCTGTAGTCTCTGCTTGGGAGTGGGGGCTTCACTTGGACCTGTCACGAGTGGTTCATTTCTGAGAAGTGGAAGCAGCAGGGAGGCTGCTTGGACCTTTTAAGAGAATACTGGGAGCATGCCCTATTTGTCGCCTTCCTTCCAGAGAGTTAGGGGACAGGGACAGAGAATTATAAACTCTTCTTTCCATTGGAGTGATTTTTTTTTTTTCCAAATAGTGAGAAAGAAAGCATTAGAGAGTGAGTCATCTGCCCCACCCCCCCAATCTTTAAGTGTCTTTTGGTAGCGGTCACATTTCATTTGTGGGTTAGTGGGCATTTGCATTTATGCATTAATGATGTCTTGTGTTTGAAATACAAAATGAACCTTTTCTTTTTCCCCTCCAGGAAAGTCCCCAGAGGAAAAAAAGGAAATCAGAAGCTATAGAAACGAGTAACCAGATTGACTTGTTGGCTCTTGGTACAGCAGTTGGTAGTATTTTATTATACAGTACAGTAAAAGGAGAATTACACAGTAAATTGATAGTAAGTACAGATAAGTGTGTGTATGTGTGTGTGTATGGATGTATATTGTATATAAAAGAAATGGGAAACTGATTATTAGAGATTTATAAAAACAAAACCGAATAATGCTATAGGATCTGTATTATAGGGGCATTTTTCTGCCCCCACATTTAAAATTGCGAACAATAATATTTGTTAATAGCTATAATAGGTAACATAATCTTTGTTGTAGGTTAGAATATGAAGAACTGTTGACTAGATTTAAGATAAAGGGTAGAAAGAGTTCTAGGTACCTCAAATTGTGACTGTAGGAAAGAGCTCACCACCTCTAGGGCTAGGGAACAAAGGAGGCAGTTGGGATAACTGCTGAAACTCAAACCTTTGAGGAGCTGCTGGTGTTCTCTTTGCTGCTGTCTCTGGTGGAAGAGTGGCCCCATGCTTGCGGTCCAGACCTCTGAGGACAGAGCTTGTAACTGACTGCTGGTGTCCTTGAAGGGAGGGGAGGAGCATAGTTCCTCAGGTGTTGGAACAATTGCATGTTGGGTTCAGCTGCTACCAAAAGGAGCACAGTAGGAGCCAGGCTAGAACAAGTTCCTCTTCCAGCCTTGTCTCTCTCTAGCAGCCCTTATTGGTGGAGCCTACTGGCCATCTGGCTGGCAAAGCAGGGATGTGGTCTGTGGAGTCCCAGCCCCGGCATCACAGAGCAAAGTGAGAGTTTGGCACTACAGGGCAGTGACTTAACTTAGCATAATTTGTTTTGGACACTGTCTATTACATTATGTGTTTGGTGTTCACTGAATGTCTGTCTTTGTATACGAATGCTTTCTGTATATATGAATCAAACAGTGTTTTTTTTTTTAAAGATTTTATTTATTTATTTGACAGAGAGAGACACTGAGAGAGGGAACACAAGCAGGGGTAGCAGGAGAGGGAGAAGCAGGCTTCCTGCCAAGCAGGGAGCCCGATGCGGGGCTCGATCCCAGATCCCAGTACCCTGGGATCATGACCTGAGCCGAAGGCAGACCCTCAACAACTGAGCCACCCAGGCGCTCCTTAAACAGTGTTTTCTGTTTTAAGTAACATTCTCCATAGATAATTCGGAACTACATAATGTTGAAAAGGGAAATAATTGTTCTTATATCTATCACCGAGAGATGTTTAATAAGATTGTATTTCTTGGGGCGCCTGGGTGGCTCAGTTGTTAGGCGTCTGCCTTCGGCTCAGGTCATGATCCCAGGGTCCTGGGATCGAGCCCCACATCGGGCTCCCTGCTCCGCAGGAAGCCTGCTTCTCCCTCTCCCACTCCCTCTGCTTGTGTTCCCTTTCTCGCTGTGTCTCTCTCTGTCAAATAAATAAATAAAATCTTAAAAAAATTGTTTTTTTTTAATGTTTAAGAATATGTTTAAGAAATACAGTTGAGTTCTGTCCATCTATTTTGTAACCTGATATTTTCCATTACATTACAACATGAGCAATTTTCATGTTTGTCAAGAACTAGTTAAAACATTTTCAGTGACTCCCTAAAATCCCACTAAATTGGATAGTCCCTTGGTGATTTAACTATTACCGACCCTTAAGGTGCTTTCTAATTTTTTGTTGTTACACATTTTGTTTGCTGTTTACATGGATTCCCAAAATTACTGACCTGTAATTAATGAGTGAAAGGGTTTTAATATTAAGGCTTTTTATGCATAGTATACAGATAGTTTCTGGAAGAGTTTTCCTGATTTTCTGTATCAGCAATGGAAAGAGTACCTGTATTCCAAAGCATTACTTCCACCATTGGATATGCCCATTAAAACAGCAAAAACATTAACAAAAGCTCAGCTGATTTGATAGATGAAAAATTCTGATTTTAAATTTGCATTTCAAAGTATGCTACTTGGATTTTCATGTTAAAGAGTATAAAAATACAACTGTAAAACAAATTAAAGCATTTAGATGTATAGATAGTAAGAAGGGAATTTCTCTTACTTCCTCCCTCCTCTCCAAGTCGAGTACTGTCCTCATGTAGGCTTTTACCCTGCTGTAGTTGGGAGCCCATCCTTTGATTTGATCAGTCTTTTGTGGTGAGCAAGTACCTACTATCCATGCAGTGTGATAGCTGCTTTATTCAGCTACTGTGGCAGTGGACATAATGCTAATGAAACCTAGAACTCCTTTTTAGATAATTTTGGCACTTCATGGGATTATACATTAATCTTTAACAGGGAATGAATGTATTAAAAAAAAAACTAAGAAGGTCAGAGTAAGGAGTGTTGGGATGATTGGTGAAGTAGAAAGGGATCAGGCTTTGGAACTATTCTGTCCTGAGTTTGAGTCCTTTTAGTTATGTGGTCATGGGTAAGTAATTGAACTTCTCATTTCTTAAATGGGTATTCTGTAACCTACTTTGCATCCTTTTTTGGATTTAGATGTAATAGTATATTTATTACAAGTGTCTAGTGCAGTGCCTGACATGTAATTGGTATTGTGCAAATGTTTGTTGAGTAAGTGAATGAATGAATGGACAGTTGGTAGATTGTTTTTCAAATGGGTGCACTAGCTCCTAGCAATGTATGATAGTGCCATTTTTTTCTGTAACCTTACCAGTGTGGGTATTATAATGCTAATAAGCAAAATGCTAGATGGACAGACTGAAAATGTACTTTGTTTTGCTTTAATCTCTTGGATTACTAACTTTGAAAATTTTATTTTCTTACTGAAATTTTTCTATGGAATTTATGTTATATCCTTTATTCAGTTCTTGTGTATGTGTCAGTGATATAGGACTTAATTCTTTGAGTGGATAGCTCATACTAGTGAAAGGAAATAGCTGAACTTAATATTTAGAAGTATTTTTCTTGGGATGCCTCGAGGGCTCAGTTGGTTAAGTGTCTTCCTTCAGCTCAGGTCATGATCCCAATGCCCTGGGGTCGAGTCTTGCATTGGGCTCCTTGCTCATTGGGGAGCCTGCTTCTCCCTTTGCCTGCCACTCCCCCTGCTTGTGGGCTCTTTCTCTGACAAATAAATCTTTAAAAAAAGAAGGGAGCAATCTAATAGAAATAGTGATTTTTGAGTTTTATCCTTAGTTTACATATATACATGATGGTGATTCATATATTCATTTAATTGTAATGTGAATTCAAGTAGAAAGAGTGAAAATCACAATTGCTCACAGTGTAAATTATTTTAGGAGCTTATTCTCCTGAATGAGTTTGTCCCGGAATGTGTGTGTAGTGGGTGGGAGAGTTGAACTTGCCTTTCCCCAGTTGATGTCTCCATTCCTGTTTGCTGCTGAGTGAGCGAGCATCTTGCTATGTTGAATATGTTTAAAGTTTTGTTCATATGGTATCTTCCATAACACAAGGAAATATTTAGTGTTTACCTGAAGAAATAGTGGTTTCTTTTTTTTTTCTTTTTAAGATTTTATTTATTTATTTGACAGAGAGCACAAGCAGGCAAAGCAGCAGGCAGAGGGAGAGGGAGAAGCAGGCTCTCTGCTGAGCAGGGAGCCCGATGCGGGGCTCGATCCCAGGACCCTGGGATCATGACCTGAGCCAAAGGCAGACGCTTAACCGACTGAGCCACCCAGGCACCCTGGAACAGTGGTTTCTTTATTGAGAGATAGTTTTGGTAGTTTGTTTTTTAAAGGTTTTATTTATTTGAGAGAGTATGCACGGGGGGAGGGACAGAGGCAGAAGGCGAAGCAGACTCCCTGCTGAGCAGGGAGCCTGATTCAGGGCTCCATCCCAGGACCCTGATTTCATGGCCTGAGCTGAAGGCAGATGCTTAACCGACCGAGCCACCCAGGTGCCCCAGTTTTGGTAGTTTTTTTAAAAAGTGACTGTGATTTTCAAAGATAGTTTTGACTAGACATGATTTTTATCATAATACTTTAAACTCCAAGATTTGGCTTTATTAGTTCACTCAAGTGTCATAAGCTTTTGCCACTGTACATGAAGTATTCTGTCTTGTCTTAGTGCCGGCATTCCTTATTTATTTATTTATTTAGTTAGTTAGTTATTTGACGGAGAGAGACACAGCGAGAGAGGGAACACAAGCAGGGGGAGTGGGAGAGGGAGAAGCAGGCTTCCCGCGGAGCAGGGAGCCCGATGTGGGGCTCGATCCCAGGACCCCGGGATCATGACCTGAGCCAAAGGCAGACGCTTAATGACTAAGCCACCCAGGCACCCCAGTGCTGGCATTCCTGTCAAAAGCAAGTGGCATTTAGAACTAGTATCCTTTGACTTATGTCATCAATAAGTTAAATGTAACTATGTGGAAGTATATTTTTTCAACAAAGAAGGGAAAGTTAACATTTGATGAATTTATAGATGATTTATCTCATTTTTGATGTTGGAAGTAGATAGCTATAGGTCAGGGTGTTTTTAGTTAGGTTAAAGCCTGTCTTTTTTGTTAACTTAGTAATGATTCTAGGATATGTAATTATGTTATATCAGGTGTGGATTTTTTTCTTTTAATCTGTTTTTTTTTAAATCTGTAGAGTGGTGGACATGACAACAAGGTTAATTGCATACAGTGGCATCAAGACAATGGCTGTTTGTATAGTTGTTCAGATGATAAACATATTGTGGAATGGAATACACAGACATGCAAAGTAAAGTGGTGAGTAATGTTGATGGTTCCATAGTACTGGAGGGGTAACTTGTTATTGTTGCATTAGAGTTGGACAAATCAAGACTGTGTTCTTGGCTGTAGGTCAAGTTTGATACTGGACACAGAGGAATGTAGATACTAAACTAGACTTTTCAAGGAATTCTTAATCAAATCAGGCATGCAAGATTTTAATACATAAACGTTAAATAATGATGCAAGAGTAAAATAATTGCACAAGAGATACCGTAAGATAGCATGCAATTACTGGTCAAATGAGTTGGATGGTGTTGGCAAGACCTGGTGGAAGAGAAGAGATTTCAGTTGGGCCTTCTAGGAGGGGTTAGATTTGGATAGAAGAGGGTGGGGGAAGGGAGGTGGGCAGATGGCAAGACCAAAGGCTAGGAGAAAGGGCAGTGAAAGATTTAGAGGATTCACATACTAGCGAATAATGGCTGATAGAGGACATGGGCCAAAGTATCTTAAGAGTCTGGCCTTAACTGTCAATAGATAAAAATCTCAGGTAACTCTTCTAGTTCAAGCACCTAATCCTATCATAAGCTTTGTAGTAGATGTTCAGTAAATGTTGAATTGATTCAACTTAGGCAGATAAGGACCCTGGGAAGGATAATGATGCTCCTGGTCTTACAGCTAATAAGTGGCAGAGAAGTTCTTATACTGTCTTGAATTCTGGTACAGTGTTCTTTTTTTTTTTTTAAGATTTATTTATGTATTTGAGAGAGAAAGAGAGAGAGAGAGCACATGAGAGGGAAGAGGGTCAGAGGGAGAAGCAGACTCCCCGCTGAGCAGGGAGCCCGATGTGGGACTCGATCCTGGGACTCCAGGATCATGACCTGAGCCGAAGGCAGTCACTTTAACCAAATGAGCCATCCAGGCACCCTCTGGTACAGTGTTTTTCTACTGTATTAAAACTATTTTCTTGGAGTTTGAGATTCTATGTCGTAAACAGGAGAGCGCCACTAAAGGTAATGTCTTGGGAATAAAGTCACCAAGATAATGCTTTAGGAAAAGGTCATCTGCCAGCATTGTGTAGAGTAAATGGAAAGGAGCTGGTTCAAAGGCAGAGAAGCCATTAAAAAACAAAACAGAACAAGGCAGAGAAGCTAGATTGCCGGTGGTTGTAGTAGATCAAGTGTGGGATGTAAGAGTGGGAAATGAGAATGGAAAAGATACCACCTAAGAACATTTGGGTAGCATGGAAGGGGGTATTAAGTAACAGCAATAAGATAAATGTAACTCTTCAGTTTTCAGCTTTGTGAATTTACTAGGTGAGTAGAGGTACAGTTTGTAGGAATTATGGCCAGAAGAGGGAAATGGTTTTGCGTTTTCAGACAAGTTGAAGTTGAAATAATACATGAAAGGCGAGACTCAGCAGATGAGGTGGTGATGGAGGCTTAGAATTTGAAGGAGGGTTTGGGGCAGTCAGTATAGATGAATAGGTCATCTGCCTAGAGGTTCGGTAGGTGTCTTCATTTACATGTGGCAGTAGTTTTCTCCACTTAATGACTGTCAGAAACACCTGTGGAGATTCTCACCCCCTAGGTCTGGGATGGGACCATGCCAGTCTATTTTTAAAATGCTGTCTGGATGAGAGTTCCTAATGTCAAGTACTTCACGTAGGGGCTACTAATGTTCAAGGCTCTGTTCACATTGTACACAGTGTTGGATTTTTTTTTTTTTTTTTTTTTTTTTTAACGCTGTGAGGTAGGCTCTACAGTTGAGAAATAGGTTGGATCCAGGCCTGAGCTCATCCACACCATAGTCCCATAGGATATTGTTCCCAACTTCATTCTTGGCATCCTTATGCTGCTGTTAAGATACTTTGGCCCATGTCTTCTATCAGCCATTATTCCCTAGTATGTAAATCCTCTAAATCTTTCACTGCCCTTTCTCCTAGCCTTTGGTCTTGCCATCTGCCCACCTCCCTTCCCCCACCCTCTTCTATCCAAATCTAACCCCTCCTAGAAGGCCCAACTGAAATCTCTTCTCTTCCACCAGGCCTTGCCAACACCATCCAACTCATTTGACCAGTAATTGCATGCTATCTTACGGTATCTCTTGTGCAATTATTTTACTCTTGCATCATTATTTAACGTTTATGTATTAAAATCTTGCATGCCTGATTTGATTAAAAATTCCTTGAAAAGTCTAGTATCTACATTCCTCTCCATTTTAGGTACTATGTGTTGACTTCCTCCCATGGAAGATGAGGATTTAGCTCTCGGCCTCTAGCCTCTCCCCTCTCCATTCTCCCAGTATTGGTACATCACAGTTTTTGATGAAGGACTATTCATAGTTTGCATTAAATATTATTACAGATGAGCCTTGTACTCTACCAGGTTTTTATTATTTCCTGGCATAAAACTGATTTTCTTGGGGTGTGTAATTGCCTTTTTGTTCATTTGCTTAGTTTTGTATATACCTATCATTAGCTCATTTTCACCCTCACGGTAGCATGTTATTTTGGGGCATATCAGTTAATCAGTTGTATTTATTTCTTGAAGGCTTCCCTCCAGTTTCATCTATTTCTTGGAGGACTTCTCAGCTTTCTTCCAGGATCTGCTGAACAGCAATGATCCTGGGATTTTCTTTCATTATCATTTTGAAAATTCTCTTGTCAGATGGAGCCTCTATGTCTTGGATCCCATTTTTCTTTGTTGGGTTACTCTCTTCTTTTTTGTGAAACACACCAATCGGTAGCTTCCTAAGAAAAGTATGAGGATGGTAAATTTAGTGAGATTTTGCTTGTCTACTAGCACCTTTATTGTATCCTCACAGTTGATTTATAGTTTGAAGATAATTTTAGGTTGGAAATAATTCTCCCTCAGGATTTTGAAGCATTGGTTTATTGGTTTATTTATTTATTTGTTTTTGCTTAATTGGTTCTTAGCTCTCAGTACTAATTAACCTTATGTTCTAAAATATCCAGTGCATTTTTAGTCCGTGAATTACATTGGCGCACAGGGGACCATTTAGCCCGGGAGTTCTGTGTTCTTCGTTTTTCTTTTAGTGTGTATTTGACAATTTCATTCCTCTGTTGTCTTTGACCTTTCTCTAAGAACAACCTATTATTACTTAGATCAGTGGACTGATCCCTTAAATTTATTCTCTCATTTTCCCTTTTGTCCTTTTGTTACTGGGGAGATTGCCTCAGTTTCATCTTCCACATCTAGTGAATTTTTAAATTTCTCTAACCATTTTTTTTAACTTCTGGGAGCTTTGTTTTTGTTCTCCTAATTTTCTTTTTGTTGCACCATGTTTCTTTCCTGGATATAATGTTTTCTAACTCTCTGACGATAATTAAAGGATTTAAAGTATTTTTCTTTTATTCCTTACATCATCTCCCTCTTGAGGATGTGTTTTGATTTTTGTTTGATTTTAGCCTCTTTTATGTTAAAGGCATTCTTCGAATGACTGTGGATCCTTGGCTGCCTGTCACTATTTGAAAATGAAACATTAAAAAGCTGATTGGAAGGCCTGTGTGGGTGGGTGGCTCAATTGCTGGGCTTCATTTGTAGAGTGATGGGGAAGCCTTCACATGTCAGTATGTGTGGGTTATTACTTTGGTACCAGTCACATTTCCTACAGAGGAATCTTTTAATCTAGTGCTTTTCGAGCTCTGATGTGCATGTGAATTACTTGTGCAGACAGAGCTGTTTTAATAGGTCCAGGTGGGGTTTGGGAATCAAGTCTAATCAGTCTCCAGGTGATGCCCGTGTAGGAGGTTACAGTGTGAGTTGCACAGCTCTTACTGGGGGTTGGGAGGAAGCTGTGGCAGTGGTGTTAGTTCTCTGCTGGCGTGTTAGTGCCGAGTGGCGAGATGGACTCAGGCAAGCTTGTCAGGTGGTGATCCTGTCTTTTTTATGTATGTCAAGTGAATAGGTGTGGAATAAGGAATATAAAATGTTGAAGCTCTGGGACAATTTGAAAAATTGTCAAAAGCATTAGGAGCTGAAAAGGGTAAAGGAAAAGGTCTCCTACATTATTGCTACATCTCCTTGATTACTTGAATCAAGTAATCGTTTTCATGTTTATTGACAATTTGAATTTCTTGTATGAATTGCCTGTTCATATCTTTTGTGTATTTTTGAGTTCATTTTTTTTGAACTTGAGCTATTTCTTGAATATAGAGTGTTTATGTATTCTGAATATTAATCCTTTTCTTATATATTTTTGGTATTTTCTAGCCTTTTGCATTTATTTTGTTTTTATTTATTTATTTTTAAGGATTTTATTTATTTATTTGAGATAGAGAGTTCAAAGGGGTGGAGGAGGAGGGGGAGAGGGAGAGAGAGAAGCATATTCCCCGCTGCACAGGGAACCGGATTCGGGGCTCGATCCTAGGACCCTGAGATCGTGACCTGAGCCGAAGGCAGATGCTTAACTGACTGAGCCACCCAGGTGCCCTTAGGCTTTTGCTTTTAAGTTTGTGACTTATTTTGTGGTACAGAAGTTCTATTTATTTAAATCAGGTTATTTTTGCTGTTATGATTTCTGGTTTGTAACTGCTTTGGAAGGCCTTTCCAAAGGGATAGAATGGACTTGTGGTGGTCCTGGTATCCAGTCTGATAGTTTCCTGGGCATTACCAAAATCTACCTCATAGATCACAGGATACACAACCACCCATTTTACATTCTTAAAACTCTTACTCTTCCATTTTCTGGAACCTCTTGAGATTGTGTTTTATTGGGCAGGCAGGCTTTACCTTAGTGTCCAAGGTTAGTCACCTGACACAGGCTTTTAAGGAGTGTAATGTGGCATAGAACCTTAAGTGATATTTTTAATGCTTGATTTGCTTTTTGCTATCTTTTTGCTCTGAGTAAAGTTTTCTCTCTATTCATTGAGGCGTTTTTGTTTCTCTTCACAATACAGCAAATGGAAAGGCGACAATAGCAGTGTCAGCTCCCTGTGTATCAGCCCAGATGGAAAGATGTTGCTTTCAGCTGGTCGAACAATCAAACTGTGGGTTTTGGAGACCAAAGAAATCTACAGAGTGAGTGAATCAAATTAGTTGTAAGCCTAACAGTCATCTAGAGTAAGTATGGAGAAGGGCAGAAAGTCTGAGCCGTAGCATATTGTTTTAAGAATACAGATTTGTTATTTTCAGGCATATCAAATAGTGGAATCAGTAGACAAAAGTTAGCCTTCACACCTGGTTTGTTGGTATTAAATATGTTAGATGTGTTCATTTCACATGCATTTGAAAAACGAATAGAACAAATAAGTAGAATTTGAATTAAAAATCTTTTATTCTGCTGTGGAATATAGTAGTTTTGATTTCTAGCTTACATCCAGCATTTAGTACATTCACAGTATTTGACTATGGAGACATAGTGTTACGTTTTGAGTGTGCTCAGGGGTGTACTTTTGGTGCTGTGATGATGCCCTAAAATTGTGGTTTCGACTCACTGAGAGTAAAATGAGGACCTACAATTCCTTGGCTGTGTCTGAGCACCCAGGCACCCCTTTAAACACGGATAGAATTAAGTGGATCTTTAATGCAAAAATGGAAGAAAGAAAGATTGTGGGTAGGACCCTGGGAGTTAGAAGGATGTCCTGATTTTTCAGTATTTTCAGATGGGAGTTTTTAAAAGTGAGAGGAATATAGCACAAATAGCCTCAGTTGCTTAGAATTAAATTTAGCTGTTACCTTTAGTCTGGAGTTCTGATTTCAGATGTGGCTCATATGTATTGCTTATGGTCCAGATGGACTCTTTAATTTTTGTTACTGCTCTGTTCCCTCTCCTAATTGAGATTTAACTTTCTCTAGCACTTCACAGGCCATGCAACGCCAGTTTCGTCACTCATCTTCACTACTATCAGACCTCCTAATGAGAGCCAACCCTTTGATGGAATCACTGGTCTTTATTTCTTGTCTGGAGCAGTACATGACCGGTTACTCAATGTCTGGTATGTAGTCTTTTGGATCTGGGAGGTAGCATTGCCTTGAAAGAATGTGTCACAACTTGTATGGTTAATATAAATGATGAATTTGAGACTTAACTATTGTATTTAGTATTAGATTTACCTTGACTTGTAATAAAGAATTGAGCCTGCCTAAAAAACAGATCTTTATGAGAAAAATTTAAGAGCATTATATAATAGAACCTCCTTTTTGCTTGTTTAGAGGTAGAGCAGTCTGAATATTTTTGTGACTGGGAAAATTATAAATAACCTTAAAAAAATTGGGATAATCTCTGATTTTGTTGAAATAGGACTTCTGGGTTAGTGCAGTAATGTCTATTTACTGATCTTTTACTGAAGACATTTAATTTCTTGGCTTTGTATGAAATTTCCCAATTAGGCACCGCCCCCCCATTTTTTTGTTTTGTTTTTTTTTCTTCTGCTTTTTGCAGTAGTTGTTGTTACTAATTTTCCTTGGAACTCCCTTTCCCCCCCGCCAAGATTTTAAGTAGTTGACAACCAGTGTGGGGCTTGAACTTAACAACCTCAAAATCAAGAGTCACGTGCTCTGTTGACCCTGGCTTGCTAGCTTGCTTTCTTTCTTTTGATATAATGTTCAGCGATTCATTAGTTGTATAGTAACATCCAGTGCTCATCACATCACGTGCCCTCCTTAATCCCATCACCCAGTTGCTCCCTTCCCCCCCTTTCACAACGTTTGTTTCCCGGAGTCAAGAGTCTCTTATGGTTTGTCTCCCTCTCTGATTTCTTCCCATTCAGTTTTCCCTCCCTTCCCCTATGTCCTCTGCACTATTCCTTATATTCCACATATGAGTGAAACCTGGCACTACATTTATTATTTTTAAAGATTTTATTTATTTGATAAAGAGACAGGGAACACAAGCAGGGGGAGTGGGAGAGGGAGAAGCAGGCTCCCCTTGGAGCAGAGAGCCCCGAGACACGGGGCTCTATCCCAGGACCCTGGGATCACGACCTGAGCCGAAAGCAGATGCTTAACGACTGAGCCACCCAGGCGCCCCCTGGCACTACTTTTAAAAGTAAAAATTAATTTGGTATTAAATGGCTGTTGGAAAGTTTTTAATTTTTAGAAAACAAGAGTTTTCTTAGATTTTATGAGATCTGATGGTGAAGCTTTTTTTTTAAACCTGCTATTCATGGACAGAATAAATGGAGATTTAAAAAACAAGTAGTTTCTCATCCTAGTAATCAATTAGTTGAGCTTGTTCTTGACCATATAAAGTTACTATGAATTTACACCAAATAATACTCATATAGAAGTAGGCTTCATCAAATATGTAATCTTGACATAGTTGGGAGGGGACAGGTTCATGAGGCCTAATGTGGACCTCTGTTCACCTTCAAACTATCAGCTGAGCCATAGTTCCTAATTAGGCCTCTGCTAATCACATTGTGTTGGTTTTCTGTCCTGTGTTTGGTTTTTGAGGTGTGCCTATTGGGATAATTCCTTTTAGTTCTATGTATTAGTAAAGCTGGAAAGTTAAAATATACCACCAAAGCCTCCTGATATTACTCACATGTTTCAGTCTTTTTTGTTTTTCTTTTAAATTTTATTTTTCATTTATTAGAGTGCACGTGTGCATGTGCACAAGTGGAGGGGGTGCGGGGTGCACAGGGAGAGGGAGAAGCAAACTCCCCAGTGAGCAGCATGTGGGGCTCAATCCCTGGACCTTGAGATCATGACCTGAGCCAAAGGCAGACACTAACTGACTGAGCCACTCAGGCGGTGTTTCCGTCTTAAAAATGCTTCACCTCTTTGGCTCCCTAGACCTAGGGGTCTCCAACTACAAAATTTTTTCTATAAAAGAAAAGTTGATTTCTGTTGTCTTAACATCCCTCAAATAATACGTATATGCCTGAGGGCTTCCTAGTTACAGAGGAGTAAACTTGAAAAATTACAAAACCATATTAAAAGGCTGCCCCAGAGGGCCATTTATGGAAAACTTTGTGTTTTGGTAGGTAGAACAAGCCTAAGGTTGCCTGATAATTACCTTTGAAAGACATATTTCTTTTAGGAAATAACATTTAAAGGTTTCTTGCTGCTGAATGAAAAATTCAACAAAAAAAGACGTTGATATTACTGTAAGGACAGTACTATCTCCTACTGAGGAACTAAGATAACAGTTTCTTCTGTATTAAGTAGTCTGTTGGCAGTGATTTTGAACATGTATAGTATAAATGGCTTCGAGTTAGAATTAGTGTTTTATGAAGAATTTATAAATGGAAATATTTAGAATTGATCAGATAAACTCTTAATTTTCTTCTAGACAAAAATATTGAAAGATTGTTTACTGGTGAATGCATAAAGTCTCACTAGTTGATAAACTGATTTTGAATTGGGTTTGCAAATCAGTTTTGTTACTGCTACTCAGTCATTTTTTAATTATTATTTGTGCCTTAAATTTTTAAAATGCCTTTATTGAGGTATAATTGATGTATAATTAACTGCATGTTTTCTTTCTCTTTTTTAAAAGTATTCTAATTTTTTTCCAGCTTTATTGAGATATAATTAACATATAACATTGTGTAAGTTTCAGGTGTACAGTGTGATGATTTGATACACATGTATATTGCAAAGTGATTACCAGGGTTAGTTACTATCTCCATCACCTCACTAATTACCATTTCTTTTTTGTGGCAAGAATGTTTTAAGATCTATTTTCTTAGTAACTTTGAAGTATATAATACAATATTGTTTACTATAACCACCATGTTGTACATTAGATCTCCAGACCTTATTCATCTTATAGTTGAAAGTTTGTACCATTCCACCAGCAACCTCTCTCCATTTCTCCTGCTCTCCAGGACCTGGGGACCACCATTCTCCTGTTTCTATGTATTATGAATGAAGTGCACATATTCAAAGTATACAATTTGATAAAGTTTTAACATATGTATACATCCATGAAATCAATTACCACAATTGACAGTGACCATGTGCATTGCTCCTAAGAGTTTCTTCATATCCCTTTATAATCCTCATCCCCATTCCAGTCACCAGGCTCGTTGACATGTTTGGGACATTACAAATAAAGTTATTATGGACATTTGGGTATAAATCTTTCTACAGACATATGATTCATTTCTCTTGGGTAAATAAATACCTAGGAGTGCAGTGGGGGGATCATAATGATAGGTGTATATTTAACTTTTTAAGAAATTGCCAAATTTGGGCACCTGCCTGGCTCAGTCAGAACATGTGACTCTTGATTTCAGGGTTGTGACTTCAAGTCCCACTTTGGGCATAGAGCCTATAAAAAAAGAGAAAAAAAGAAATTGTCAAGTTTTTTCAAAGTGGTTGTACCATTTTATATTCTAACTAGCTGTGTATAAAGAGTGTGAATTCATATTTTCACCAATGCTTGATATTTAATTTTAGCCATTTTAATAGGTATGTAGTGGTACCCCACTGTGGTTTTAATTTGCATTTCCCTAATCGCCACTGATGTTGAGAATCTTTTATGTGCCTGTTTGCTATCTGGATATGTTTCTTGATGAGTGTCTATTCAACTATTTTGGCCTATTTTTTATTGGGTTTGTTTTCTTACTGAGTTTTGAGAATTCTGTGTATATTCTGAATATAAACCCATTAATCAGGTATATGCTTTGCAAATATTTTCTCCTAGTATGTGGCTTGTCTTTTTGAAGAGATGTTTTTAATTTTGATGAAGTCCAGATCATGTTTAGAGATCTCTGCTTAATCCAAGGTCACAAAGGTTTTCTCCTGAAAGTTTTAGTTTTAAGTCTTGCATTTGATTCTGTGGTCTGTTGTGAGTTAATTTCTGTATATGGTGCAAGGATGCATGGCTTTTTTTTTTAAGGTTTTATTTAAATTCCAGTTAGTTAACATAAAGTGTAATACTAGTTTCTGGTGTACAATATACTGACTCAACACTTCCATATAGCACCTGGTACTCATCACAAGTGTACTCTTTTTTTTTTTTTTCCTGAGAGAGAGCAGGGTGTGGGGGGGCGGGGGGGCACGGGGCAGAGAGAGAATCTTAAGCAGGCTCCACCCATGTCATTGCAAGTGGCAAGATTTCATTCTTTTTTATGGCTGAGTAACTCTCCATAGTGTATGTGTGTGTGTGTGTGTGTGTGTGTGTGTGTGTGTGTGTGTCACATTTTTATCCATTCATCAATCGGTGGACACTTGGGCTGTTTCTGTAATTTGGCTGCTGGAGATATTGTAGAAACATCAGGGTGCATGTATCCCTTTGAATTAGTATTTTTGTATTCTTCGGGTAAATACCTCGTAGTGCGATTGCTGGATCACTTTTTGAGGAACTTGCATGCCTTTTTCCAGGATGGCTGCACAAAAGTTTGCATTCCCAAAGAATGGATGGACATGTATGTTTTGGTATTGGGAATATCCATTGGTCCCAGTACCATTTGTTGAAAAGACTTCCATTGAACTGGGTTTGCATATATACATGGGTATACACACACAGTCAGTTCTCGTTATTTGCAGTTGTATAGTTGTACAAGTCCTCATGAGCACTGAGTTGGTGATGCTGAACTATTATTCCTCTGGGAAATACAGGGTTAGGTTTCTGTAAGCCTCGTTGGTTACATCTTTGTCATCTAAGCAATACATAGCCTTGTTTCATGTGTTTCTGTTTAAAAATACTTATCTATATGTATGCACACACGCATATACACACGTATATATAACTAGCTGTGTGTAACTATATACACATACTGACATGAATTAATCAACTATATATATAGTTGATTAATTCATGTCAGTACAGAGTTTGCTTAGCACAAATATTTTCCATAAGGAATATCAGTTCTTTCCTCTTAGGTACACTAGACAGCACTTCAGCACTGTACTTAGGGGACATTTTAAACAGTGAAATCAACAAAAAGCATAAAAGCAAAAAAAGTGGCACTTTAGAAAGAATCTTTTTAGTATTCTAAATAATACTAATAATACTTATTAGAATATAGTATGAGAGCTGAAATAAGTCATAGCATATAGCCTTGTTTAACATTGTTGGCAACTCTTACATTTCACTGCCCTGAGCATAGCTGTTAAAGACCATGGAAGTTCCACAAATACTGAAATTGATCTGTAGTCCCCTTATTTAGCTTTCAGGATGCAAGAGCTATGGGGAATCTAATGCTGTGACTCCCCATAGGTGCTCATCTTTTTTTTTTTAATTTCTTTTTATCTAATCATTGGTTTTGTTATCTAGGCAGGTCCGGTCAGAAAACAAAGAAAAGAATGCAGTGATGTCTTTTACAGTCACAGATGAACCTGTCTATATTGATTTGACTTTGTCAGAAAATAAGGAAGAGGTAAATGGCTTGATTTTTGAGAATTTGTTTTTGGATTTCACAAATTATATTTTTAAAATTAGTGTTTTGATGATTTTATGATTTGGGAAAGAAGGGGACATGAGGGAGGGAGAACAAAATATAACAAAAATCTTAGGCTCTCCGGGATGAGCGTTCAGTCACTGTGATGCGCTTTCCAGGGGAGGGGTCAGCATGCAGAGGCATTTGCAGTGATCCCAGCCAACTGCTCTGCTGTGCGGGGCCTGCCAGGTGCCTTTTGTCAGTCTCTGCAGTTGGTAGTAGTGACTTTGCTCCTCTAACTTGCAGGCTGCATTTTCCTTACTGTTCTCTTCCCCTACACTTTCATTTCTAAGCTTTACAACAACCACTCCGGTTGTCATTTTGATGACAGTAAGGATTTTTAAATGCAGGAGTTTTGCAACCTTGGTGTTCTAACTTTTTCTCTGATTATTTCAAGGGCGGGAGGGGGGAGAATAGTTGGTTTGGTAAGTGTATTAAAGCAGTTATCCATTAGAGTAGACTGAAGTGTATTAACTCATTAGAGTAATCAGTTAAATTTTTCTCTTAGCCTGTCAAGTTAGCTGTTGTTTGCAGAGATGGTCAAGTTCATCTTTTTGAACACATATTAAATGGGTAAGAAATTTCTCGTTTATTTTCTTTCCCTGATTTGTTACTTTTTTATTCCCACCTCAATATTCTTTGCATTATATTCCTTTTCAGTTAGATTATTTTGAAAGCATTATTAGTTCTTTATCCACATGACTACATACATTCCCAGTAAGAACTCAAGTTTTGGAGTCATGGACCATTTTTTCATATTTGTGGTTAGTAAAGTAGTTTTACAATATATGCTTAGTAAATGTTGGCAGTTCTAATAACATATTTTAAAAGAAAGTGGTTCAGTTGGAAAACTTTGCTTGTGAGCTCGGTAAAACCTTAATTTCTGACTTTGATAATACATATGTGGATCAGTGCAGCATGGCAATGCTAGTGTTTTGGTGAATAGAGGGGAGTATTGCTGTTGTGATGTGTAGTAGTCCTAGACCAAGGGTCAGTAAATTATGATCTGTGGGTCAAATCAGTATATGGCCCCCCAAAACTAAAATACTGTCTGCTCTTTATAGAAAGTTTGCCGATCTCTGCCATATTCTATAAACATGGTCTAAGACTCAGTCATGTAAACTTTAAAATGGTTTCAACTTTTTGTCAGTTGGTATCCTTCCTTTTACAATCGTAGGGTAGCAACTTAATTTAAATATAAATAGTTATGAAAGCATAAAACATTATTTTAAAACATTTAGGATGCATAGACAGTTGATTATAAAGCCTAATTCTCCCTCCATTGAGTTCTACTGCCTAGAGGGTACTGTTAACATTTTGTGTGTAACACTTGAGGCTTTTATTTACATAGTCATATGTGTACGTGGAATATATAACTTGAGGGCCCAGAAGTAGTGGGCTGGAGTGAGGACTTGGTCCCCTCTCCTTGGTCAATAGTAAGCCTTGCTTCTATGCAGAAGACTGATGAGGTTTGACCTAAGTGTTAAGGCATTAAGCTTTAAGTCGTTCTGTCTGATGTGTTGACAATAGATTACAGAGGGGTCAGAGGCTAAAGCAGAGGCCAGAAGTCCTCATAGAGATGGTTGTGGAGTCCATATAACTAAGGGGAGTGAGTTGGAAAGATAGGGATAGTGGGGTGCACTTTTTGGTGATAAGATGTCTGTGGTGTGAGTGGCTGAGACACGGTAAAGGCCGGGATTGTTGGAGGTGGGAAGGGTTCAGAGCTGGAAGGACAGTGTGTCAGAAAGATCATCAGCCTGTGTGGTGCATATGGAGACCACTTGAGACAGTGTTGGCCAGAATGACAGTGGAGCCACTAGAATCTTGAAGAAGTAAGGGGGAATGACCCAGAAATCATTGGTTGGCAGCAGGAGAGGGAGGTAGCTGGTATTGGGTGACAACATTTCCCAAGGTTACAGATGACAGAGGGAGAGACACTTGTCTTGAGATGTTCGTGAAGAACAAAGAGCACACTTAAATGATGTCCAAGGCTTCTGACACAGAGTATGGAGAGAAAACAACTACAACTTGGGAGATCTGCCCTCATGAGCCAGCGTAGAGCAAGAAGGTGAAGAAAATCCTTAGAGGAGAAATTGAAGATGGGATTCTGTTGATTACATTTTGCTGATAATTTTGCTCCTGGAACTGTGTTGCAGAGATCATAGTGAGGCTTTTGGGGGTTGGAAACAATTGGGGATAGCGCTGATTGGAACAGATGTAGAGAGTCATGTGGGGTTGAAGCTCAAGGCAACAAGAGAGCACTTGGAGCTTGGGCACCTTGTGGGGCTTGACAGTGGGATAGAAGGGCACGTGGTCTCCAGGCAGATTTTGATGGTGAGGTCTTGCTAGATGAGGTCTTAACAAGCAGCACTGGTGCTGTGGGGACCCTGGTCACTGTGGTCGTAGTGTGGAGGCCATAGGAGGGTTATATTTCCTGACTCGATACCAACTTTCAAGCATTCCTGTGAGATGTTACTTCGAATTTTCTAATTAATTTTTTTTCACTTCTAGATACTGCAAAAAGCCTTTGACTTCAAACTGCACAATTCAGATAGCGACACCTGGGAAAGGCAAGAAATCAACACCAAAACCCATCCCTATTCTAGCAGCTGGTTTTTGCTCAGACAAAATGTCATTGTTGCTTGTATATGGCAATTGGTTTCAGCCCATCATTGAGCGAGTGGTACGTAGATGCTACTCTGGAGTAGAACAATACAGCATCAGCAAGGCCATGGAAAAAAATGATTTCGAAATGACTCATTGGTCTGCTTATTGGAATACTTAAAAAGAAGTCATGTATTTTCCCTTAACTGAAGGACCTTTCACTCAGTGGTTTATTTTAGTTTGTGAGAGCTATGTATTTAATATTACTTAACCCAGCATATCCAAAATATTTTAATCCTTAGTGTGAAAAATTATTTGAGATATTTTATTCCCCTCCTTTATTTGGTATTATGTCTTTGATGTTTGATTATATTTTCACTTACAAGCACATCTCAGTTTGGAGTAGCCACATTTCAAGTGCTCAGTAGCCCCACATCCCTAGTGGCTAATGTTCTGGTTATCAAATGTATGAGTGAATTTTACCCAATTACTCAAAAGCTAAATCTTAATAAAAGAGCCCTTAGTAACATTACCCATTGAATTTTCTCAGTGGAAATGTAATGGGTGGTTCAGTCACTTAACTTTTTTGATGGCCAAAGTTTCTTTGGAGACTTTTGGAGAGTTATAAGCATGTCTAGTAGGTGATTTCTTCAGCTTGTATTTATACTGCTTTTATTCAGTAAGGCCCTCTGGGAGATGATGAATGGAATATTACATGCCCAAGCAAGCTCCTGTTGAGTTTATTTTAATTTAAACTCACATTTAATTAAAACTTAAGTTTAAGCTCTTGTTGAATTTATTAAACTCTTCGCTTTTTTTTTTTAAACTCGTTGCTTTTTAAAAATTTAACACATGGATATGGTTTAATAAAAAAAGGAGAAAGATGTTAAGCTGTAAACCTAAGTCTTCTTGCCATATGTGGACCCCCCCCAACCCTCCTCTGCCCATAAAGCCATTGTTTCCTGCTTGTTTAATGTCCTTCCGGATACTGATTCATTATTATATGGTTATAGAGAATTACATATAACCTTAAAGCCTTATGGGTATGGGTAACATGTACTTTGCTGCATTTGGTTGTCCTCCCTATTTAGTACCACATCACGGTGTAGAGGTCCACCCAAGAGCATTATTCATCAGCAGTGCTGTCTTTGACTTGCTTGTGGAAAGTAGAGCAGTAGAAAGTTTTAGGGTAGGACCATTCTTTTTTAGCCTAGACTATTCTGTTTACAAGGGTGACAAACTGGAATGTTTTCTTTAAAATGTGTTACATTTAAAAAGCCTGTTGATCTCTTAAAGCTATACATGTGAAAAATTTGAGCAGTTCATAACTGAAGAAAGTACACATTATGCTTAATATCTTCAGAGTTGACCCACTTTTCTCTGCTGCCATTCGTCTGAATGGTGATCAGTCTGAGTGGTTCAGTTTTGTGGGGAAACTTTCTGTACTTTTTTGTATTTTTATGAAAATGCACAAGTAGGAATTTGCTTTTCATATTATTCCCAAATGCTTTGTTTGACACTCTTTTCCCCCCCCCCGTCACACTCCCTCCCCTTTAAAATTGTATTCCCAGGCTTTAAATTCCAAAGAACCTCATGTGTGTTTAGTAAGAGATATTTCAAACTGCTGGGCCCCCAAAGTAGAAACGGCTATAACAAAGGTGAGTGCATTTCATATTAGAAGTTGAGAAAAAAGAGATTTGCGTAAATTTAATTGTAATATATTATTATGTTTAGACTCTTTAATATCCTCTTTATGATCTTGTCTAACAAATTTGTGGGATTAGGTTTCAGGTAACGAGATTATAAAACCACTTTGTTTCTGTGCTCTTCATTTGTTGAATGCATGAGTGAATAGACAACTACAAGTTGAAGACTTGGGAGTTAGCCCCTCACCCCATGTATGATCATTAAATATCACATTTATCAATAAATTATTTTACTGATGTCAGTATTTAAAAGCGTAACTTTGAGGAATCCTATATTTAAGGGTGGAATAAAGCTTAAAATTATGGGTCTGGAATTGAACATTGTATAAGATGATCATCTTGATGCTTTATTTTGAATATAACATGGCATCTACATGTAGATATCATATGTTTGGCAGTTTAATGAGTAAAGGAAAGCCAAGACATGCTATGATGACATCCATATATGGTTTCGCTTCTGGCTGAGTTCCAGAGATGACACCTTTCTCTTGGCTGTCTGAGCGTTTCTGGCAAAGCTGGATTCCTGGAGGTGCTCATAAAGCCTACAACTTCACTCTAACATTTCTAAGTAATCGATAATCTGTAAATGTTCCTGGTTTTTACTCTTAATGTGGTATTGAAAGCTTTAAAACGATGAACTTTCAGATTATAATTTAAAAATTGCTTGCCAACATTCACTTAAAATTTATCTTTAATTCATGTCATATTAAGTTAGTTATATTAGATTTTCTAGTAGAAAAAGCTTTTAGATGCTGTTAGTTTTCTCACTGGGGCTCAGTTTTGCCAGGACTAAGGCATCATTTCCTTTGTCACGTTCCCGCTGTTCCTGTTCAACAGGTGAGAACACCGGTGATGAATTCTGAAGCAAAAGTTCTGGTGCCAGGGCTACCTGGTCATCATGCAGCTATCAAGCCTGCTCCTCCACAAACTGAGGAAGTAGAGAGCAAGAGGAGATTGGGGGAAAATGAGGTAGTACACCCACTCTGACAATTTTTGAGTTTGAAATTTAAGATTACTTGTGAGACTCTTTTAACAAATAAATTGGGATAGAGCCAAACTTGGAACTTCAGGAACTTACTGAGATTGCTGCTGTTCCCCTCTCCCTAATCCCCAGCAGCATAGGATCCGAAATTCCAGACTGTAGTCTGTGAGACATTTACTTGGCCACTGTTAATGGAGAAGACAGACTTGCACTAACCATAGAGGGTGCTGTTTTGGCCATTGTTAGTGGTCAACTGGATCATGTAATTGAATACATTAAGCCAGGACTTGCTGTGATGATTTCCATTGGGTTTCGCTTGTTGCTGACTATCAGTGATGCCTCTTCTCTTGGCTGTCTGAGCAATCCTGGCTAGTTTAGTGATAGTTGGTTTTTAGAAGTGGTCATTATAACGTCTTAAAGTACTTAGAAATTTGATTTTTTTTTCTCAACTCCATAGACTTCCTTCCTGTGGTTACTGTACTAGTGTCTGCAGCCCTTCTTCATGTGTGTCACCCTAAATGATCTAGAGCTTTAACTTTTATTTTTAGAGAAAAGATGTCATGTTTCTTTATCTGATTTTAAATGTCTTTATTGGGTTGGGGGGTTGGGGCTAAAAAGCTCTTCATAAAAATTATTTCTCAATAACATGGTATCTGTATTTAAAAATAATGTGCCAACTTTCTTTATCTTGGCCTAGATCTGCTTCTTTAATTTCCTCCTGCCTTTTTTGTTTTTAATAAGATAACCCAAATAGGAGGCTTTGCCAAAGCCTATCTGCTTTGGTAGTTGTAGAATATTTGTATTTTGATTTAGTTACTAAGAGGCTGGCAGAACATGGTTGTCTTGTTTTAATAAGAGATCAGTTTTCTACAATTGAGATTTTGGTTTTTTTTAATATTTATTAGAGAGAGAGTGCGCGCTTGCACGAGCGCATGGGGAGGCGGGAGGGGGCGGTGCAGAGAGAGAGGGAGAGTCTTAAGCAGACTGTGCTGAGTGCAGAGTCTGATGCTGGGCTCAGTCTCCTGACCCTGAGATCACAACCTGAGCTGAAACCAAACATCAGATGCTTAATGGACTGCACCACCCTGGCGCCCCTAGAATTGAGTTTTTGTGTAGTAAATTGAATCATGTTTATTTACACTTAAATTTTAGGTCTTTGTGAAGGAAACTTAGTTGTAGTAGAGCATCTTCTAGAAAATAAATCACCATTTGGAACTGACTAATAAAGACAAAAATAGGAAGGCATTTTATAAATTGTTTTGACAAAATAACTGTCTTTATTTATTTTATATTTATATTTATTTTATAATTAAAATAAATTAAAAAAAATAAAATATTTTATGTTTATATTTATTATATATAACATATATTTATTTATTATATAATATATGAAATATAAAATATAAATATATTTATATTATAATTATATTATTGTATATATAAATATATTTATTTATTTTTTAAGATTTTATTTATTTATTTGACAGAGAGACACAGCAAGAGAGGGGACACAAGCAGGGGGAATGGGAGAGGGAGAAGCAGGCTCCCCGCCGAGCAGGGAGCCTGATGCGAGGCTTGATCCCAGGACCCCGGGACCATGACCCGAGCCGAAGGCAGACGCTCAACGACTGAGCCACCCAGGCGCCCCTAGCTGTCTTTATTTTTAATTTTCTTTTGATAATACTTGTTTCCTTTTTGAGATCTGAGGCTGATGACAAAGCTTTTTCCATAATAGGTCTTTTCTTCTGTTTTAGTAAAAGATGCCAGGTGCTTGGCCTTTTTTTGAATCTTACATAGGTGTGTTTATGAATTACATTTTTAAATCATGATTTGTTAGGCAGTTGTTTTTTTTCACTGGGATCTGGTAACTTGCATTGGGAATCACCAATCTGGGAGCCACCCAGTCATCCCTTGACCGAACTACTTTAAGCCTTGTCTGGTTTAACATTAATGATCATTTCTGTTCTGCAGATTAGCATTGAAGAGCGCCTGGGAGCACTGGATATAGATACAAAGAAAGAAAAGGATGACCTTCCACAGACAAATAGCTTTCCAGTTCTTCTCACACAGGGTTTAGAAAGTAATGATTTTGAAATGCTAAATGTAAGTATTCTGGCAGTTTTTAAAATGAATTAACACAGTTAATTTTTCTTAGAAAGTGATTGACCTAGCACACTCCGTGATAGTCATATGATGTAGCTGTTTTGAATTTAATATTTTGTGAGTCCAGTCAAACATTTATCACTTGGTGGCACTATACAGACAGTCACCAACCTACAAAGGCATTGTATTAAATTATTTTGAACCTGGAATGCATTTTCTCATAGAAATATTGTTTTGAATTGTTATTAGGTCTTAGGCTTTAGTTCACAAAAGCCTTTATAAACATAGTGTAGCTGAACTATAATACTCAGCATTCTAGATCACAATTTATATTTTTTTCTGTAGGAAAATGCGTTCCTGAGTTTTTACTCTGGATTCCAGAAACTTATGTCCCCCTGGCCGTGAGAGGGGGCGGTGAGGTGGAACCTTGGCAATGGGTAGGAGGTTTGGGGGAAAAATTCAGGAGGGTTGGGGGTTATGTTGTGAAGTATTTAGAGGTAAAAATACTAGAAATTTGTATAAGGGAGGCATTTATTATTTCTGTGTTTGTAAGTTGGTGACTGCTTGTATGAAGTTACTTAATTAGGTCTTCTTAGATTTCAGAATTTAATATTGGTCTGTAGAAAAAACTTAAGTGTAAAAATTGGATTTAAGTACTGTCTGATTAGATTAAAACAGTTTACATTTTCTTAAGTGCCTTTATTCTTAGTGATTCAATGATGTTATGGTGCCACTTAGTATTGATTTGACTTTATTCATACGTTAACTTTATTCGGGTAACCTATGAATAGTGTCTTTCTGATTTATATTTTGATCTAAATGGAAATATCATTTTTGTCTTAAGGTGATTTTGCAAAATGAGAGGAGAAACCAGCACATCCTAAAATTACTTTTAACATTAGTTGTAAAATAGTTTGTGAATGTATGTAATTTGGGAGGTGGTTTTCAGTTAACATGGCATAGAAACCTAGGTGAAAAATAAGCTGTAGAAAACAATGGACAGTGTTTTTAAAATGTAATATAACTTAATCTGCCATTATTATCTCCTTAGCTGTCCCTTTTAACCTTTCTCAGTACAACTAAATCAGCTACCAGTTTTTTTTTAAGAAACATTTCAGAACATTTAAAATTATTACAGTGGCCCCCCATGAACTCATCACTCAGTTTCAGAAATTACCTACACTAGCCAGATCTATCTGTGCTTGTGTCATCTGTCTGCCCACATGCCTCCCCAGGTTATAGTGAAGCATAGAGACATCATTTTATTCATAAATACATCCCTCTTCAACCCTGACAATAACAACTCCTTTTTGAAAACAACCACAATCCATTATCACACCTAAAAAAAGTAAACTAATTCCTCAATATCGTCAAATACCTGTTAGCATGTTTACATTTCCCTGATTGTTTCATAAACTTAAGTTTTTTTATGTTTGCTTTAGTCCACGTAGTACTGGGGAGAGATCTATCTTCTGTCTCTTGCAGTTAATGTTTTGGAGAAGCTAAGTTATTTGCCCTATAGAGATTCTCACATTCTGGATTTTGCCTCCCGCAAAACTCCCATTTTGTTGGGTCATTTAATCTAAAAATGGTATCATTTAACATGTTCCTTTAGCATATATCCTGTACACTGGTAGTTGGATCTAGAAGCTTGTAGAGATTCAGGTTAAAATCTTTTGGCATTTCAAAGGTGACAGTGTGTCCTTTTATCAGGTGTCACAGAGTTGTTGGAAGAACAAATGAAATGATCTTTATGGAAGCACTTCTTAAATTGTAAAGGATTGTACACATAAGACTTTTTTGTTATTAAGGCTCTTTAGGTGATACATTGTATTTCACTAGAAGTAATTGGAAACTAGAATCCTGGAAAATTGTGTGCTAGAAAAGACCTGTAAAAGTTATAGTGAAGGGCTTAAAATAACCTAAAAAAGAAAAAAAAGTATGGAGGTTTCCCCATAGTATATTACCTGGGAGATGATGCACTCACATTCTGTACTCTCTTACAAAAAAAAAAGAGACAAGTAAAAAAAAATTTTTTTTCTCCTAAAAATAGTCTTCCCCATTCCCAAAAATTACCTTATGAGGATACATGAAATATAGTAGGAGGACAATAAGAAAGAAAGAAGTAAGCAAGCATTGGCAGAGATACATCATACAACTAGAAGTGAGGATAAGAATCCCTACCATAGAAAACTTAACATTAAATTTGTGGCTTTAGGAAGGTGGAGATTTGACTCTAGAGAAAACAGCTTACGAGAGAAAAGAAGAGAAGCCTAGTCATTTATGTAATTCATGGCACCCACAGAAGACGGATATTTTTAAGATTTTTAAAAATTTATTTAAATAATTTTTGTATGTGCCATTTACAGTAGTACCTAAAAGTTAGGATAAATTTATAAAAGATGCCTCTCCCTCTATATCAAAAATCACAAAAATTGAGAGAAATTAACCAAGATCTGAGTATAAAGTGATGTAAACGACCTTTATGGGTTGAAAGATTCAATACTGCTAAAATGAGGAATTCCCCCCTTATTTATCTGTGTATTCAGCGCATTCCCAATTAAATTTCAGTAGCATCTCCAGGTAAAATTGGAGGACTTAGCATACTCAATTTCAAGGTAAAGTTACAGTAATCAAAGTAGTTTGATATTAGTGAAAAATAAATATAGATTAAGGAATCAAAATAGTCCAGTAATAGATCACACACAGTTGTTTTTTAGTAAAGGTACTTAGTTGAGTTAATGGAGACAGTAAAATCTTTCCAGCAGTTGGTCGTGAACCAATGACATATCCATATGGAAAAAAATGCATCTCAGCTCTTACTTCACAAAAGTTGACCCAAAATAGATATGTAAAACCCAAACCTACAGACTTCTAGAAGAAAACAGGATAAAGTCTATGCAAACGTTAGCGGATGAAATCTTGGCATCACAAAAAGCATTACACACCACAGGAAAAAAGTGGTCATTTGGACTTAATGAAAGTTGAAATCTTTTGTTCTTTCTGAAATGGCAGGGTTTGTGACTTCTAAGTGATTATTACAGTGTTGGTTCCTCCTTCCAGGTTGGGAGGTGATAAGCACCATCCCAGGAATTCTCAATACATTTTTATTACTTAAGAAAAAAGAAAAAGAAATGATACTGTTAAGAGAGTGGAAAGGCAAGCTGCAGGGGGGAGAATATTGGCAATTCCTACATCAGACAAAGGATTCGTGTCCAGAAAATAGAAAAAACTCTTAAGAATGAAATTCAAAAAGCAATTGGTAAAGGTGGGAATAGATACTTCCAAAAGAATTCAAACGGCCAATAAGTGCATGTGAGGGTATTATACATCATTGATCATCACAAATGCAAATTAAAATGGCAATGAGCTAACACTACATACCCATTATGGATTGATTAAAATTTAAAAGACAGTTCCACCTGTTGGTGAGAATGTGGTGCAGTTGGAATCTCATATCTTGCTGGTGGGAATATAAAATGGTACAACGGAAAACAACTTGGCAATTTCTTAAAAGTTAAGGGTTCATCTACTTGAAGACCCAGCCATTCTACTGCTAGGTATTTACCTGGAGAGTCAAAAACATGTTCATAAAAAGACTGGTACATGAATGGTCATAGCAACTTTATTTTTTTAATAGCCGGACCCTGGAGAGAACCCATATGTCCCTCATCATATGAGTGGATAAACAAATTCTTTATCTAGCAGTGGAAGGAATGTATTATTGATACATCAACAACATGGATGAATCTAAAACTTACGCTGTGAGAAAGAAGCCAGAAAGAGTACATGCTGTGTATGATTCTATTTGCATAAACATTCTAGGAAATGCAGACCAATAATATAGTTCAATGGTTGTCTGAGAATGGGGGTGGAGGGATAGAGTTAAGGGACCCAGGGAGACTTGAGGGTGATGGAGTGTTTATCACAGTGTTTGTTTCATGGGTAAATGTTTATGTCAAGCTGATTAAATAGTGTATTAAGTGTGCACTGTTAATTCTTCATTTATAGTGTAGTAGACTTGCAAAAGAAAAACCTTCAATATCTTCTTGCTAATTACAACTGTGGTTTATAGGGTTGTTTCTTTAAATATATTTTCAGTGGAAGTTAATGCTAACTTCTGTATCCATTTAACACTTCACTTTGTTTTGGGATAACTTACTTTTACTTGCTTATTTTAAATTTGAAAATTACCATAGAGCCTGTTGTTAGTTGGCATAAGAATTACTTGAGAGCTTGTTAAAAAACTCTTCTGCCCTACAGTTTGATTTAACTTCTAAATAGCTAGGCCATAGGTTCTCTCTGTCTCTCTCTCTTTTTTTTTTTTTTTAAGAGAGAGGGAGGGAAGATGGGGAGGGGCAGAGGGAAGGGAGAGAGAATCTTAAGGAGGCTTCCCATCCAGTGCAGAGCCAACGCTCGCGGGGCTCGATCTCACGACCCTGTGAGACCATGACCTGAGCCAAAATCCAGAGTTGGACCCTTAACCAACTCCACTCAAGTGCCCTAGGCCGCAGATGCTCTTGTTTGCCTTTGACAGTTCTGGTTTATACCTCTTACCTCCGTATAATAATTAAGTGACTTCTTTCGTTGTTACAAGTGTCCCAGTTTAGACAAGTTATATGATCACTTTACATTTAGAGCACCGGGGAATTTCAAACCCTCATTCCTACATTGTTTTTTTAACTAAGCTTGGTATAAATAATGTGCAACAGCAGGTTCAAGTTAGTATTCCTTGACCTGAAGGGCTACTACCGTACTTGGCCAGTTAGGACAGTGAAACCTGACGGTTTGGTGGACATGCTGTGAAAATGGAGGAGAATGTCTTCTCTCAAACAGTAATTTGTAGACTAGTTCAGACAGATTGTTTCCTCTAACCTGTGCATTGTTGGAACTTTGGGGTAACTGATAGTTATAATAAATGTGATTTGAGGAATGTTTAGTATCATCACACACCTTCTGAATTATTGTGGAAGTTCTAATCAACATATTTTGCTTTGGATCTTGTATTTGAAAATATAAATTTAGGTTAATTTGGACTATTGAATAAGGACAGTCCACCCCTCACTTCTTCAGTGATTGTGTATAAAGAGTTTTCTTTTGCATGAGAAACTATGCCATCATGCCTGTGGTAGTTTTTATATAGTTCTTGATGGATTTTTTTTAGAAGGGCTTGGTGTAAAGATACTTTTATAAGCAAATAAAATTCATAGGGCATTCTGAAAGGATACTGTTAAAATAAGCTGTAAACCGTTTTTTTATATTTTCCCCTTTGGTACTTCTGCTCTTTATATCTTTATAGTACCAGCCACCACCAAAACAGCACGCACGCATCATCAGGGAAGTTCCTCTGGGAGTTAAGCCCTTTGGAAGAATAAATACATAGAAGTATTCAAGAGGAAGGGGGGAATCAAGATTTTGAGACCTGAAAAGCCTTGTAGTTCCCATCCTTTCCTATGGAAGAAGCCTCTGAGATTTGGAGACATTGAAAGGCCTGCCAGGATGAGGACTAGTCGCTCTCTCCTTTTCTGTACCCTGCTGTGGAGACTGGGTTTCTCCAGTTGATGGACCCTCCCAGGATTTTGACTCAGGCACTCATTAGATATGATCTTTTGATTGGTTTAAAATTTTATCAAAAAGTTGACAATTCTATTTTTTTATTTTTTTTAAAGATTTTATTTATTTATTTAATTGATAAAGAGACAGCGAGAGAGGGAACACAAGCAGGGTGAGGGTCAGAGGGAGAAGCAGACTCCCTGCCGAGCAGGGAGCCCGATGCCGGGCTCGATCCCAGGACCCTGGGATCATGACCTGAGGTGAAGGCAGTCGCTTAACCAACTGAGCCACCCAGGCACCCCAAAAAGTTGACAGTTTTAAAAGGTTTGTTGCTTAGTGTGGTTTTAGTGTGTATTGCTCCTTATGTGGATATATCTCTGATTTCATAAAATGATGGTTTGACAGCTTCTCTAAAGTGGCATATGTCTGTTTAAGTGAGTAGAGGTGTTCTGCTTTATATAAAAATTTGTTCATAAATTTTAGAATCTGTAGGTAAGAAACCCATTTATCAAAGTAAATGTCCTGATGCCTGAAGATTATACTTCCCTGATAGCCAAAGACATTAACATTCTCCAGTCAGTCCCTCCAACCTTCATTCACTAAAATTGTTGGTAGTTTATGGTTTTGTTTTTAAAACAGACACTTGAAAAAATGCTCACCATTACTCAGCATCAGGGAAATACAAATCAAAACCACAATGAGATACCATCTCACACCTGTCAGAATGGCTAAAATTAAGTCAGGAGACAACAGATGTTGGTGAGGATGCGGAGAAAGGGGAACCCTCTTGCACTGTTGGTGGGAATGCAAGCTGGTACAGCCACTCTGGAGAACAGTATGGAGGTTCCTCTGTTAAAAATAGAACCATCTTATGACCCAGCAATTGCACTACTAGGTATTTGTCCAGAGTATACAAACATAGTGATTTGAAGGGGCACCCCAGTGTTTTTAGCAGGAATATCCACAATAGCCAAAATATAAAAGAGTCCAAATGTCCATTGATTGAATGGATAAAGTTGTGAGATACACACGCACACACGTGCACACACACACGCGGTAATATTACTCAACTGTTAAAAAGAATGAAATCTTGCCATTTGCAGTGACGTGGATGGAGCTAGAGGGTATTATGCTAAGTGAAATAAATCAGAGAAAGACAAATACCTTATGATTTCACTCCTATACGGAATTTAAGAAACAAAACTTAAGGGGGAGGGAAGGATAATAAAATAAGATAAAAACAGGGAGGCAAACCCTAAGAGACGCTTAACTATGGGAAACAAATTGGGGTTTCTGGAGGGGAGGTTGGAAGGGGGATGAGGTAATTGGGTGATGGGCATTAAGGAGGGCACTTGATGGAATGAGCCCTGGGTGTTATATGCAACTGCTGAATCGCTGAATTCTCCCCCTGAAACTAATACAGTTTTATGTTGAGTAAATTGATTTTAAATTTAAAAAAAAATCATTTTTACTGTTTTTCCTGTAGTGTCCTTAGCTTCTGCATATGCTTATCTTCATGTTTCTTTTATTTTCTCACAGAAAGTACTTCAAACTAGGAATTTAAACCTAATTAAGAGGACTGTATTAAGGATGCCCCTGCATGCTGTTATTCCATTGTTACAAGAGGTAACTGAGTACTTTTTTCGTTTTAAGGTCCTAACACTATGAGTTAAAGAGAAAATCTAGTGTTTAGAGAAATGGAACTACAGTATGTAAGCAAGCAGGGTATTTAGAGTAGATAATAGATCCACTCAAACAAAATTTACGTAGTCCACATTTTTTAATGTATTTTTTTATTGAGATATAATTCACGTACCATAAAATACATTCTTATTTAATACGTATAATTCAGTATTTTTTTGTATATTCACAGGTTGTGCAGTTGTCATGCCAAAAAAAAAAAAAAATCATATACCAGTTAGCCATTCCCCATTCTCCCTTACCCCCAGTTTCTGGCAACCACAGATTATTTTCTGTCCCTGGGTTTGTCTCTTCTGAATTTTCATTCATATAAATTGTGGCCAGATTTTTGTCAGGTAATTACTTTTACTGTGGGAATGTGTTCCTAGATTATGTCATACTGGTTGAACATTTAGGAATTAGGAAATTTAGGAATCCTTTAGGAGTAGTGATTTCCTAAGTCTTTTTTGGTGGGAGGGGCAGAGGGAGAGGGAGAGAGAGAATCTTAAGCGGGGTTCCCCACCCAGCGCAGAGCCCCAATTTGGGGCTTGATTTGATGACCCTGAGGACCCTGAGATAATGACCTATGCTGAAATCAAGAATCGGGTGCTTAACCAACTGAGCCCCCCAGGTGCCCCCTTAATAGTCTTTTCTGTATTTTCTTTGTATCGTGGGAATTGGTGCACATGAGCTGCCTCTGAAGAGCAGTTGCTAATACTCTTTTTCTCTCCCTCAGCTTACAAAGAGATTGCAGGGACATCCTAATAGGTAAGATATTTAGGCAACTTAAATTGCTTTGATTTTATCAATATTTTAGAAGTGATTCTTAAAAACAGCAGTTTCTGACAGAATGAAATTACATAGTCAGCAGCTCCACACTCTTTAAGTGGTAAGACTGTGTCTGTAAGGGTCAGATACTGCTCTTCCCACTTACTGTAAGTTGAGTGACTCTTATTCCTAAGATTTTAGTACAGTTTTTTTCCTTTCTTTTAGGAAACTCCTGTGTAGTTTTTCCAGCTTCATTATCAGGTCATGTAATGAATTAGTCTTAGTAACGTTTTCGTCCTCTAATCAGATGTAAAATTGCCTTTTGTAGAACTGCCCCAACCTCTGGTTGCTAAGACACTGTAAGGAAGTATTTTATAGGACTGAATTTTGTGGGTCTTTTTTGTTAATAATTTGATGATTAAGTATTCAAATAGGGAGTTGGTATCTCGAAGATCCTAAGCTGACAGTTTAGTATTATCAGTGCTACAGTATATAGTTTTTTTCTTTTTTAAGATGTTAATTATTTGAGAGGATAGCGAGAGAGCATGAGCAGGGCAGGGTGGTGTCAGGGAGAGGGAGGAGCAGACCCCCTGCTGGGCAGGGAGCCCAGTGTGGGGGCGATCCCAGGACCCTGGGATTAAGACCTGAGCCAAAGGCAGATGCTTAACCAACTGAGCCACCCAGGTGCCCCTGTAATTTGTCTTTTCTTAAAAAAAAATAAAAATAAAAATAAAAGATTTTATTTATGCATTTGAGAGAGAGAGAGAGAGCACGAGTGGCAGGGAGGGGAAGAGGGAGAAGCAGGCTCCCCGTTGATCAAGGAGTCCAATGTGGGACTTGAACCCAGGACCCTGAGATCATGACCTGAGCCGAAGGCAGCCGCTTAACCAACTGTGAGCCACCCAGGCAACCCTTTTCTTTTTAAGTTTTTTCCCCTGATAGACTCCATTTGTGTTTGGAGCTCACAAAGAAAAGTCAAAGAATTCATTGATTAGGCCCAGCTTTTACACATTTTTGGTCTATATTTGCCTTTTAATGTGGCATAGAAATCTTACGCTGTTTGTACCTGATGGTGAGTAGATGGTGGGCGTAAAAATGCGAAGTCAGTTAAGCCCAGTTTACTGCCTTGGTATCAGTTAATTACGAAGTAAAGCATGGGTTTTATTCTTGAATTGTTTTAGAGGAAGAGAGTTTTGTCTGTTCAGTCCATGTTATTCTCCTCTCCTTCCCAAGAGATAAGTCTGTTCCACAGATCTCAGACTCATGAAGGGATGAGAAGATCATCAAAGTCAGTGGTTTATTTAGTAGTGTTGTTTTTCACAGGGCACAATTTATAGATCTTTACTTGGCCTGAGTTTTTTATAACTCCATTGTATTTAATTTTGAATTCGTGAATATTCGTTTACTTGAATTTTTCTTTTTTTCAGTGCTGTTTTAATGGTTCAGTGGCTAAAATGTGTGTTAACGGTCCATGCATCCTACCTATCCACAGTAAGTCTTCAGCTGTTGTAGTTGCTGAATAGTTTGGCTTTGATGAGGATTATAAACTGATACGTTAATGAAACCGTCATCCCTCCACCTGCCCTTCAACCTGCTTTTAAAGATTTTATTTTACCCCAGGTGCATTGTAATAATGTCATCGTTGTTGCCTTTTTTGTAAATTGGCCTTTTCTTTGCCCTGGATTTTTAAAAGTAATATATGTTCTATAGAGAACTTTGAGAAATACAGAAAGGAGAAAAGTAACATACTGATAAATTAGCCTTTAGATTTTTTTTGTATATATATATATATATATATATATATATATATATATAACCTGTTTAGCAAAATTATTTTTACAATGTATGTATCTCTCCATTGTTCTACTGTGTCCCAGGACAATAGAAGATAGCTTGTGGTAAAAATGAAGTTAAATATTTAATAGCTGTCATTTTGTGGGACTGGTGTCAGGTCTTGGTTATCTATTACAAATGGAAGGGAGGAAACAACAAGTTTTAATCATTACCAGAAAACACAGTTTTATAATACACATATTTATATACATTTCATAATATGAATTGGGTTCTTTGCTTATTAAGTCAGTTATATGTATGTGTGTGTATATATATTTTTCAAGATTTTATTTATTTATTTGACAGATTGCTAGCGCAAGTAGGCAGAGTGGCAGGCAGAGGGAGAGGGAGAAGCAGGCTCTCCGCTGAGGAGGGAGCCCGACGTGGGGCTAGATCCCAGGACCCTGGGATCATGGCCTGAGCTGAAGGCAGCTGCTTAACCGACTGAGCCATCTAGGCACCCCAAATCAGTTATATTTTAAGTTTCTGGAAATAAAATTATACAATTCACTTTTTTCTTTTTCTTTAATTTTAATACCTAGCACCTTATAATAGATTTTCTTAATAGGTTATAGTGGATAGTTGAAGAAAGTTCTTAATTGCTCTTCTTTCTTAACACAGTTTCACCCAACTCCGCCTGGTCACTGTCCCTTGTTCTGTCTCAGGCTCCTTTTGCTCTCAGTAGTTTGAAATAGGGAAAACAAGTGGATAACTTGCTTTGAAGCCAGGAGTTTGTTCTTTATGTGTCTGGGGAGAATTCTGCCAGGATGTTAGAATGGGGGGAGGTTAAGAAACAGTAAGAATGGCTGTGGGGTTTCCCCGCTTGCGGAATCTTGGGATCAGTTGAGGCAGTGGTGAGTGGAGTGGTGGAGTGGTGGGTGGTGGGCACGGGAAGAGTCCCACGAGCATCCGGACTTGGGGTGAACAGGACAGCACTTATTTGAGAACCTCGTTCATTTGCTTAGAAGTGAAAAGAGCCCTAGGAGGCCTTGTAGAGAAATCCCTTCTGGAGCCAAGGGTGAGCTGCTGGAGTAGTAGTTGTGTGACGGTCACAGTCATGGCAAAACAGACCAGAGAAGCACGGTGTGGTGAGGGCTCCCCTGCCTACGGGAATTCTGTCCTCACAATACAGTGCTTTTCCTTCCACCGTTCCTTTGCTTCCTCCTCCCCATCAGGTGTCCTTACCTTCTCTGAGCTAAGGGACTGTGCTAGGCATGAGGCTTAAGGAATGGACAAGATACCCTGATCTCCCTGTTCTGGAGCTTATTGTGGGAATAGGGACAGAGGAAAAAAGAGATGATGGCCACTGGAATGTGATCATGTTCAACTTTGTTTTACTCATTTTTGTGTCTGCTGTTTAAAGTTTAACATTTGAATGAAACTCTTAGAGGCTAAATCGTCAGTGAGAGGAGGGCAAGTAAAGGCTAATTAAAGGGCAAAGAGTGGGGTTCTTTTTTTTTGTTCCCCTGGAGGGACAAATTTCATGCTTTAATTCCTTAAGCACGGTTCAGAGGATTCTTTAACGGGGAGTATGTTTGAAATACTGTAAGGTCAGCTTTGTACTCTATCGCTCTGTTGTGTTGTCTCTGGAAGCTATGAAAAGCTTCCTTTAGCTTGCTTATGGTATAGATAATGTGATATCATCAAAGAGTAAGTTTCAGAGGAAAGCCCTCTTTAGCCTGGAGATACGTGGTGGGGGTATTTTTTATTTAATGTTTCAGTTATATTGACCTCTCAATATTTTTATTTTTAAATTATTTTTTAATTTATTTTTTTTAGTACGCTCCACACTCAGTGTGGAGCCCATCTCGGGGCTTGAACTCACCACCCGAGATCAAGACCTGACCTGAGATCAAGAGTCAGACACTTAACCGACTGAGCCACCCAGGCATCCCCCTGTATCATTATTTTAAAAAACGCACTATTTTTTGCCATTAGGACATGAAAGGCCAGCCTGTGAAAATTTGCGATGTTGCTAGGCTATGTCCCAAGCAGCCACCGCCACAGGAGGTGTAAGCAGATGCTTATGGTGCAGAAACTTGGGTGTTTCTGAGCGTGATTTGTCTGTTTGTTATCTATACTTTGTCATGACAGTATGAATACGATAATCTTTTTTCCCCCCTAGTTGCCTGATCTGGTACCCCAGCTGGGAACACTATACCAGTTAATGGAAAGCAGAGTAAAAACTTTTCAGAAACTGTCCCACCTTCATGGAAAGCTTATTCTTCTAATCACTCAAGTGAGTAAATCAGATTGTTTTGTGCTAAACTTTAGATGTGATAGGAGTAGAGAGGAAAAGGATCATTTACCTGAACATTGAAAGCCCATGTTTCAGCAAGAAATTGATAAATCAGGATCCAGTCTTTAACTTTGGAAATGTTATGTATTTGACAGTAGGTAAACTTACTTGTGCTGGATTCTGCTTTTCCTCAAAGGTTCTCACTGTCCTATGTCAGTTGTTAATATAGTTAGGATGGTTGTGCTACTAGGAACAGCAAGTTACAGGGTATTTATACAGTTACAGTTTTGGCACAGAAGCAAGTTCTGATCACCTAAAAAGGTTTTCAACTTTTACAGAGTAATTCTTTATTCTTGTATTTAACAAGTTTGTTTTTTGCCCTGTATTGATCTGCATTGTATTGAGGTCATCCATCATACTGGTTGAGGGCAAGTTTACCGTTGGGGAAGGTGGAGTGTGCTGGTGGCTGCTGTACTTGAGATAACCTTTACTCTACTTCAGAATAATACTTGATTATCTTTCAGGTTACAGCGTCAGAAAAAACAAAGGCAATGACTTGTCCTGCACAAAAGGCAAAATTGGTGTATGAGGAAGGTAAGGCTTGAGGGTCCTGTAGATCTAGAATTGGAACATTCATTTTTTAACATTGAGTTCTGTCACCTTATTTTGTAGAACATGACTGTGAGTAAGGTCATACTATGGCACACCATATTTTCTAATAAAATGGGCAAGCCTGTGGCAAAAACATCCGATAGAAAGGAAAAGGTGCAAATACTGTATGGTAAAACGAGAGAGGGCACTAGGTATGGAAGATAAAGTTAGGTGTAGGAGAGCACGTGAACAAGCTTCCATGCTGGCCATTAAAACCCTAGATGAGAAGAGGTGATTTCCTAGGAAACATGAATGACAAAAGTGACTTAGAAATAGAAATAGAAACCTTGACTAAGCCAGTGGCCTTGAATTGATTTAATCAAAACCTTTGCTCAAGGATGCCAGGCACATTGTTTTTATAGGTGAATTTTATCAATCTTTCAAGGAACAAGTCATTTTTGTCATATATAACAATTCAGGCATTTTGTGAGTCAAAACCAGGTAAGGAGAGTTAAAACATTTTAGAATGTCTTTAAATATCTTGAGTAGCAAATTGATTACAGAAGTACTTAAGATAATATGTCATTACCAAGTAGAATTTATTTAAAGATTGTAAGGCGATTTAGCATCAAGAAAACTATTTAATATAGTTACCACATTAACAGATTAATAGGGAACAATATATATTAATAGATGGAGAAAAAGAGTAAAATTCAGTCTTCCATCTCATTATTGATAATCTGAGCGACCTACGAATTTAAAGGAATTTCCCTAATCTCTATCAGACAAAGTTGAGAAGCATTCCCATAAAGTCAGGAACTAGACAATAATGTACCTTTTATTGCTTCTGGATATCATGCCTAGTATTGTATGAAAGAAGTGAATTCTAGAACATTGGACTTGGCTGGCAATTGTTACCCTTCTCAACTTAGAAAATGCAGCAGAATCTACAGTTATACCATCATTAATGAGATAGGGAGGTAAGCAAGTTTACCCAAGATGAGCAGAAAGGAATCAATTGTATGGTTGTCTCAGCAATGTATTGTATGTCTACTAATGTATTTCCCAGTCAGAAAATGTATTAGGAAAAAAGATTTCATTCACAGCAGCAGTCAAAATTAGGAAGTACCTAGATATGTATCTAAAAAATGAAATAAAACCTTTATAGAGAAAATAATAAAACATAGCTGAAGGACATAAAAGCATACCTGAATTAATTACTTAGACTTTATTCTTTTCCAGTTTTACTGAGATATAATTACATATAACATATTTTTTTAGGTGTACAACATAATGATTTGATGATCTATGTATATATTGTGAAATGATCACCATTATATGTTTAATTAACATCTATCACCACACATAGTTGCAGTTATTTTCTTATGCTGAGAACTTTTTACTCTCCTAACAGCTTTCAGATATACAGTACGATATTGTTAAGTGTGGTCACCATGCTGTACGTTATATTCCCAGGACTGACTTCTCTTATAATTGGAAGTTTGTACCTTTTGATTTTCACTCATTTCCCCCACCCTCCACACCTCTGGCAACCACCAGTCTTTCTCTGTGTCTATTGGTTTGGTGTTTTAGATTGCACATCTAAGTAAGATCATACAGTATTTACCGTTCTCTGTCAGACTTACTGCACCTGGTACAGTGCCCTCCTGGCCCATCCATGTTGTCACAAGTGGGAGGGTTTCCTTTTTTTTAAAAGCTAAATGGAATTCAGTGGCTGAATGTATATCACATTTTCTTTAACCATCCATCCAGGCCATCGATGGACTCTTAGGTTGTTCCCATATCTTGGTTGTTGTAAATAATGCTGCAGTGAACATGGGGGTGCAGGAATCTCTTAGATCCTGATTTCGTTTCCTTTGACATATACCCAGCAGTGGAATTGGTGGATCATCTGGTAGCTTTATTTTTAGTTTTTAATTTCTTAGGGAGCCTCCATACTGTTTTCGATAATGACTGCACCAATTTACGTTTCTACCAACAGTACTATGAGGGTTTCCTTTTCTCCGCATCCATGGCTTAGTTTTTTAAGATGGATTGTGTTAGGGTTTTGGTACTTTGTCCTACTCAGTGAGATCTTGATAGATGGACTTTTATGCAGATAGGAAGATTAATGTTACTGCTTAGATGGATGGTAGCTGAATGCAGTATTTCTAAAAGTAAATTCAGGAATCTGACTCTTGTTAGGGCTCTGCCCTCTGCTTGTTGATCACCAACTTAAGGGCTGCGTTTTTCCCCTCGTAGAATCTTCTGAGGAGGAGTCAGATGACGAAATTGCAGAGAAGGACTCTGATGTGAGTACCTTGTTTCCTGGTGCCTAAATCTGCCTTTACACCCTTGCGCTCTGTGTGAGCAAGGCCTTCATGAAGGCTTTCTGTGCTGCGTCTCTTTCCACCAGGATAACTGGGATGGAGATGAGGAAGAGAAAGAAAGTGAAAAAGACGAGGATGTTGATGAAGAGAACGAAGAGGAGGAGGAAGATGCTGAAGAAAAGGATGAAGAGAATGGGGAGGAGGACAGGGATGTCGCCAGTGAGAAAGAATTAAATGGAGATTCCGACTTAGATCCCGAAAACGAAAGTGAAGAAGAATGAGGACGGAGAACAAGCCGATGGAGCTGTCACCTCCGCTGCGCCTTCCCCAGTGCTGCCGAGTTCTCCTGGGAAGGGTTGTCTCTGGGACAGGCGCCAAGGACCGTTGCACATTTCCAGATTCCTCGTGGTGGTTCCCATGCCGTCTCGCTGTCCTGAGCACCCCAGACTTCACTGTGTATATAAGAGTGTTTCCTTCAAATGTTAATAAACTTTACACAGCAAATAGACACCTTTTCTGCAATGTACTGACATGAGTGTCCAATATATGGTATATTTTTATAATATAATATCCCAGTATGGTTGGTTATGGCAAGAATTGACATAAGTGAGGACACAGACATTTCCCATGTAGGGTTTCAAAAACTGGACTTTTGTGAAGGAGTCAGCTCTTATCTCAGGTTGGTATCTTTCATCAGATCCAGATACAAAGCGGCACTAGTGAAAACAATTTTTAATTTGGTACATTTTCATAAAATATGAAGGGATAACTAAAGATTCGGAGTGAAAACAGTTGGGATTTAAAAACTTTTAAGTATCAATATCCCTAGCTTGTCTATTAATGGTGGTGGTCTGATTTGAGTCAGGTTGAGTATTTGGAGTGCTTCCCCCAAACAGCCACTTATTTTTTAAGCTGTCATGTGGAATATTTTTTTAAAACAAAAAAATTATGGTAATTAAAAAACTAAAGAATTAGCCATATTAAATAGGATTTTTCTCGACTGCAAGTTGCCTGTAAAGAATCATCAGTGTATAGATTTAGAAGTACTCATTATCTGCAACTTTTTAAAAAATTCAGTTATAGCTGCTTTTGAAGAGGTTTTCATTTTTATTTAAATTACTAATGGATCAAAGAACAACTGTTTATTTTTTCTCTTTGGTTTTAGATATTAATGATAACCTTGTTGGAATTTTTTTCCAAAGAAAATATTTTTATAATTCAGTAATTTAATGTTTTCCTTCCTTTTCATTACCCACTCTTGGCAGTGTTAGGGTATCTGTTTACCTTTAAAATAATAAATCTGACTCAAGATTTTTTATGTATGTATAAATAAGTATTTTGGTGTGCTACAAAAGCCTTTTCAAATTATCAGTAATTTTTTTTTTTTTAAAATTAAAAGAATGAGCCAGTATTTGTGTAGTGCTCTCTAGGGAACAATGCAGATGGAAGCTCAACTCTAAGGGAGGGCTGGGGTGATGGGTTTATTTTTACCACCTGTGAATATGTAAAACACAAAACCATTATCTCTGAGGGACTTTTTAACTTTAATGGCAGAACAGATATTTCTGTGCTCAACTCATAGAGCTGGAGCCACACAAGCATCTTGGGAAAACAAGTTTGAGCCGCTACTCGTGTAATGTACAGTTATATTTGTCTATAAATGGAACTGTTTATGGCAATTTAATACCATTCTCTTTGTAAAGTGAATAAATATTCATCTTTACCCGGTGCTTGTCTTGTGGTATATGTAGAGGAACACAGCCACGTTTGGGCTTGTGTGCACGTTTCAAGAAAGTGATCTTAACTCCACTAGCATTAAAAGGTAAGCACGCTCTCTGGGTTCGTTGGAAAACCTAGAATTTGTAATGAAGTGAAAGAACCACGAACTTTGAATTTAGATGCAGCCCCGCTTGGCTGGGTGATGCTTCCACAGCCGGAGGCTGCAGTGGCATCGCCAGGATGGAGGTGCTCATCCACTGGGTCCTGCTTTGTGGTCTTCGAGTCTCCTTACCCTGCACGTGACTCTCCCTGAAGGAGTTGAGGCCTATGGTGTGTAGTGATTGCTTACTCATTATTTTGGGGGTTAGACAAATCCAGGGCTTAATTAGGCTTGTCCCAAAGACATTTCTGGTTTCAGGGTATTTTTCACTATGTTGTTCCGTTCCTAATCCAGGCAACAACATTTTCTGTGGGTAGGGTCATCTTTTCTGAGATAATTTTCTTCCCAACCTTTGATTTTGGAAAGTTAACCTTCCATCGTCATCAAGGATTACACATTCTATTTGGTTGTTGCTCTATATTTGTGTGTGTGTGTGTGTGATTGCTCTATTAATCCAGAATTCTCCCTTGTGTGTTTGTGTTTCATGATTTTGATGTTTGAATGATTCCACATAAGCTGGGTTAGAGAATGTTTTATAATCTGGATTTGCCTGTTTCCTTATGGTTAGATTCTGGCTTAAATGTTTTTTGGCAAGAATACTAAATAGGTACTGATATTTGAGATTAATTTGTAAAAGTAGTTCTTTGGGTATAGATGAATGTAGAGTATAAGTATGTTTTGACATAAATAGATGTCCAGCTTTTAGGTTTGGGACTTTTGAAGTTTTAGTACAGAGGGGTGTTTGAGGGTCAGAAACAAGATCTTGGTAGTGAGAACACTGGGTATATCGATGCTATATAAGGCTCTTTCATGTGGAAGTTAACTCAGCATTGTACGTACGTTCATCTACCAAATATTTATTGATTGCCAACTCTGTGCCAGGGATTATGTGGGTGGTTGGTATACATCACTGAATTCTGTCCTGAGAAGCTGACGTTGTACCAGAGAGATCTAGGCAAAAAACACTGTATCAAGAGTAAGTAAATTCTATGTAGTATGTTAGAGGGTGGTAACTTCTGGGGAGAAAAAGTGGAGTAAGGAAATGGGGAGTCTGGGTGGGGGGGCGTGTAGGTTGCAGAATTAAATACACGATCAGGTTAGGGTTTATTGAGAAGGCGAGACTTACCATAAACTAGGAGGGGTGGGGGAGTTAGCAAGTGGGTATCTGGGGAAAAGTGTTCTGAGTGAGGAAACTGAGCAAAGGCCCTGTGGTTAGCACATGCCTGTGATTGTGTTATAGAGAGATGTCAGTGAGACTGGAAAGGAGGGAGAAAGGGAGAGTGCATCAAGAGGTTAGCGGAGAGATAATGAAAAAGGTTGCATAAGGCCTTTCAGGCCACTGTAGGGACTGGTCATGCTCTCAGTGAAACACTGTTGCAGTGTTTGAGCAGAGGTGTGCTCTGTGCTCTTGACTTCTGTGTTGAGAATTTTGTATCACCGTGGTGCTATGTTGAGAAATTGAAGGACTGCATCCTAACAGGCAGAAGACAGTAGGATGCTTTTGCAGTAATCCAAATGAGAGATGATGGTGATTTAGGCCAGGGTGGTGGTCGTGGAGTTTGGTTGGTTTCTGGGTTGTTTTAAAGTTAGAGCTAATGGATTTCTTATGAGGGAGACAGAGAAGTCAGGGAAGACTCCCAGGTGTTTTTTCCCTAGAGCACCTGGATGATGCTGTGGGTGGAGCAAGTTTTAGAAAAGTAGATCAGGAATTGAGTTTCAGACATGTTGAGTCTGAATTAGGAATTCAGACATGTTGAGTCTAATTAGGAATGTGAATACATACCCAGCTGACTTGGGGAAAGGTCGAAAGGGAGGCAGAGATTTGGTATTGACATGTATGTGACAGTAAAGCCACAAGACTGGATGAGCTTCCCATGGAGTGAATGTACATAGGAAGAGCACCCAGGCCTGGTGCTCCAGCATCGGAGTAAGAGAAGAGAAACCCCAAGGGACCCATCCAAGAGAGTGTCCGTAATGTAGGAAGGATTAATGTGTAACTCTTCATTGTCTTCAAATCTGAATTCATGACAACTTTTAGCCCTGATTTCTTTCAACTCTTAAGTGATGTTCCTGGTGAGTCCTCCCAGGCCGCAGTGAGGTTATGATGTCTGCCCTTTGTATGACCGTTTGTTGATCCCTTCTTTGAAGGCAACTCAGGCATACAATTTGTTTCTTTATTTTTTTTTTAAAGATTTTATTTATTTATTTGAGAGAGAGAGAGAATGAGAGATAGAAAGCACGAGAGGGAAGAGGGTCAGAGGGAGAAGCAGACTCCCTGCTGAGCAGGAAGCCCGATGCGGGACTCGATCCCGGGACTCCAGGATCATGACCTGAGCCGAAGGCAGTCGCTTAACCAACTGAGCCACCCAGGCGCCCCCAATTTGTTTCTTTAACCCAATGTTGTCTTCACCTTTATGACCCCTTAGCACTGTCCCTTGTGCTGACCCATTATGTGTCCAAATTGTATACTGGATCGGAAGGTGCAGAACGAGAGGTCACAGGAGTGTGGACAGATGAGCAAGCATCATTGACAGGAAACACAGTCTGGCAGAGGCACCGGATAGGTAGGGTTCACTCTTCTGCACAGTGCTGGCTGACTTGCCGTGAGAAAAGCAAATGGGCTGTACTTGGCAGTACTCTGATGGATTGTCATAAATATGTGGATGATTTTTAATAGGAAGGTTGTTCTGAGAGGAACAGAGCAATTATAAATGCACTTGAGGAGGTGAGGAACATCAAATGAAAAACCCAAAAGTTGAGGTACCTGGGTGGCTCAGTCGGTTAAGCGTCTGCCTTTGGCTCAGGTCATGATCCCAGGGTCCTGGGATGGAGTCCTACATCGGGTTCCTTGCTCAGTGGGGAGCCTGCCCCTCCCTCTGCCCGTACCTCTCCCTGCTTGTGCTCGCTCTCTCTCTCACAAAATCTTTTTTTAAAAATTTTTTATTATGTTAATCACCATACATTACATCATTAGTTTTTGATGTAGTGTTCCATGATTCATTGTGCATAACACCCAGTGTTCCACGCAGAACATACCCCCTTTAATACCCATCACCAGGCTAACCCATCCCCCCACCCCTCTCCCCTCTAGAACCCTCAGTTTGTTTTTCAGAGTCCATCGTCTCTCATGGTTCGTCTTCCCCTCTGATTTCCCCCCCCTTCATTCTTCCCCTCCTGCTATCTTCCTCTTCTTTTTTTTTCTTAACATATATTGCGTTATTTGTTTCAGAGGTACAGATCTGTGATTCAACAGTCTTGCACAATTCACAGCGCTCACCATAGCACATACCCTCCCCAATGTCTATCACCCAGCCACCCCATCCTTCCCACCCCCCATCACTCCATCAACCCTCAGTTTGTTTCCTGAGATTAAGAATTCCTCATATCAGTGAGGTCATATGATACATGTCTTTCTCTGATTGACTTATTTCACTCAGCATAACACCCTCCAGTTCCATCCACGTCGTTGCAAATGGCAAGATCTCATTCCTTTTGATGGCTGTGTAATATTCCATTGTGTATATATACCACATCTTCTTTATCCATTCATCTGTCGATGGACATCTTGGCTCTTTCCACAGTTTGGATATTGTCTCACAAAATCTTAAAAAAACAAAAGAAACCCAAAAGTTGAAAATCACCACTTTAAAAATTGCCTGGCATATTGTTTGCAGGTAATAATGGCTCAAAGGGGGAGGAAAGAACTCTACTTACTGGCTGCTGAAGTTAAATAAAGGATTTCCTGAAGAAGTAAGTAGGTATGAAAGCTTTCGGTTCTACTCTCAGCCCCACCACAGTGTGTTTTCTAGTTAGAAAGAGGGGAAGGGGCATGATGGCCTGGCAGTGCAATCCCTGAAGTCTGAGGCCATTTGGCTACTACCCTAGCTGGCTTGGTGTGGTCACGATGCTCTGAAACTGGGCCTAAGCTTCGCAGGTTCAGAAACCTAGTTCTATCTTTGTCCTTAGAGTCGCTGCATTTTCACAGAGTGAAATCATTAACCAGGCTTCTAAGAAAAATTGGTATTTGGATGGTATTTACAGTGAGAAGTCTACTTCTCAAGTGGAGCAGAGTGTTGATGTTGGGTGGTGACATGTCTTCTTTCTGCACAGGGAAGCCACAGAGTAAACTGGCTTTATAGCTGGAAGACTGTCTTTGAACCAGAGTGTGGAATTGGAATAAGAGAGATGAATTGGATGGTCTTATTAGCTGGTGTTACGGGCCGTGAGGAGTCTGTATCGAAGGGGTTGGGATCTTGGCTTCCCTGTATGTTGCTCTGGGTCCTCTCGCTTCAGACTGATCCTTCTCCTTTTAACAGGACAGTCGCTGTGGTTGGAATGCTGGTGTTTGGGGTCTCCTCAGACACCCACTTAGGGCAGCTGGTTAGGGTATTCTAATCATTTGAGGGGACAGCTTTCTCCTGACCACGGATACTGTCACCATACAGTTACACCTAAAAAATAAACTTGCTATTTTCAGCCCAACTTTGACCTTGTTTATTATAGTTAAGCTAGCAAAATCTGGCTTCTCCCCTTTTCTTTCATTGTGGTAAAATATACATAAAATGCACCATTTTAACCGAGTTTTAAGCGTATGGTTCTGTGGCATTCATTACATTTACATTGTTGTGCAACTGGCAAAGTCCATTGGTGAAATTCATCATAGGATCAGGTCTAGGAAATGAAAGAGGGCAAACACGAATACAGTCGGTATGCTGTGGAGGGACCCAATTTAGGGCCAGAAGCTTCAGTTCTGGGCCCACGCTGCAGCATGGCAATGATAAATCTACTTAATTTCTTCTTTTTTTGATCTGTGCAGGAGAGTAACAGCAGTGCTGTTACAAGAATGCCG